ACTTATTGTTTTAGTAATATTATTTTTCACATAAAATTCAAAAATTAATTAAGAGGTTAATGAGGTTTCTTAATAACTTTGTTAAGCGATATTCGAATCAATTTAAGAGTTATTGACTGAAGGCTAGTATGAGACTGATCATTTCGTTAAAGGCCATAGTCCATTTGTTGATATATTAGTCATACATACAGGGTGTCCCACTTAAGATGGATACAAGCCAATATCTTGGTTGTTTGTTGAGCGATCTTTTTCATTTTTGGCAGGAGGCTGTATGGCTATAAGACGTACATTTTGCCCAGGGTAAGAGATGCGATACCTCATAGACGTACGTTTTAATGGGGTTTGCTATTTTTCGAGTCAAGAGTAAACTACCCTTAGGACAGTATTTATTTCAAATCTGATAAATTATATTGAATCCTCCTTACCATAAGAAACAATTTTCTAAAGTAAACAAAATAAATTGAAAATATTTAGTGTTTTTGTATCCTATCTTAATTATTATGGAAGCTATCTGAAAACTTAAATCGATTATTAATTGATAATTGGTTATAATTGGTTATTGATAATAAACCAGTTGTTTATCCAGTGGCGTCGTAAGTACTTAAAAAAATAACAAAAATAAAAATGTCTTATTTTAATAACACACCCTGTATCAATATTTGTGAAAATTAGATCTTAAGTATCTTGAGTAAGGAGGATTCAATATATTTTATCAGATTTGAAATAAATACTGTCCTAAGGGTAGTTTACTCTTATTGACTCGAAAAATATCAAACCCCATTAAAACGCACGTCTATGAGGTATCGCATTTCTTACCCTGGGCAAAATGTACGTCTTATAGCCATACAGCCTCCTGCCAAAAATGCAAAAGATCGCTCAACAAACAATCAAGATATTGGTTTGTACCCATCTTAAGTGGGACACCCTGTATATGTATATTATTTATTATTAATTAGTACATTAGTTTGTTAACTGTACTCTAATCTGATTTAATTTGTGGAAGAAGGGTTGTGCAGAACCAATCGAGGAAACCCACAATGAAACCTCTACGACCATTTTCTACTAACTGTTGGAATGTTAAACAAAAAATTTGTAATTTCCAGACTCGATATAATCTCATTTTATACATCTATAAATGCTAACTTGAGATATAATGTCAAATATTATTAAGTATAACAGTTTCGGCAGAATGGCATCGTTAAATGAAACTGAACATATCGACATTAATTAAATCAAATTGTTTAAGTGATATTTTTATATTTCAAAAGTCAATAACTCGGAAACGCTTGGTTTGTGGTACATTGTGTGTATTTCGATTTTACTACTACACATTGCCTAGAATTGGAGGAAGAACCGAAATATGCAATAATATACAGGAGATTCCGTTTAAAAAATGAAACTTTTATGGGCTACGACTTTATGACTGACCCTGTATACATAAATTTATTACTCGCTAATAGATATTTATAAACCCTATAACTTTTATATTTAACCTTTTGCGGTACCTCCTATATTTTACCTAATAATCCACCGTTTCCAAATACCTAATAATTAATTATATTACTATTAATTACCTAATAATCCACCGTTTCACAACCAAACCAAACCAAACCAAACCGTTTCCATACTAACCTAACCAAACCAAACAGCGACCCTGTATTAAAAAATTGTTGAATGCCAACATTGCCAACTCCTACTGATTAGGTGCATACCGAAAATTGTTGTGTCTTTAAAAAATAAATGTATTGTGTATTAACATTCCTCTAAAAAAACACGGGTCATAGGCCAACTTATGGCATATTACAAAGATATGAAAAGATGTTTAATATTCGTCTGTGATATGGAATCATATAATGAATGAGATCAGGATCTAGGCTTATAATTGAAAATATTTAAGTGAATTTTATCAATAGAAGAGATTAAATTTATCAGATACAGTATGTAAAAAAACTGTCTGCCATGTCTAATCGGTGGATTTTCTAAAATCCGATTATGCTTGTTAATGGATGTGTATATTAGATATATAACTTATTTCTGGGGACTCGAATCAACGCGACGTCATCTAAACGGTGAAATCCGGCTAAGTCACGCTAAAGGCTCGTGGCTCTACGGATTAGTCCAACCGCTGAACAATAGGTGTTTTTTGTTCGCCATATTTCAATTTTTAAGTTCGTCATAACGTCGCTTGCGTCAATGCCCGATATTTAACACAAACTACCTAATTTACGTAAACCGTTTATTAAAATCAGTCGTACATTTCCAACGTACTTTACTAAAAAAAAAGTATTTTTTTAATATGTAGCCATTTTTAGGTATTATAAATTATTTACACAAAATCTCAAGTATAAAGTATTATAACTAATGCCTATAACTCTATGACAGAAACCTAAGATAGTTTCGATAGATGGCAATTCAAAAATGACAAATAACTGTTATTAATGTTATATTCTTTCGCTCGATAGACTATATTTAATTGTGGACATATCGACAATCACGATAAAATACTTACTGCCATTACTCGCTGACGAGTATTTGACACGCATCAGAAGATAGTTACGCAAGGCGTTTTCTTTCATCAGCTTTTCTGTGACTGAAAAGCCCGATACGTGATGTTATCTCTCTTCCGCACTCCGGACATTCAAAAATCTCATTACTTTGTTGCCTCTTTACTTTTTGGTTGTCGTTGTTAAATGGGTTTACAATTCTTCTCCATCGTTTTCTGTTGTGCGCTGCTTCCTCCCACAAATTCTGCATGCTTATCCCCCTTAAGTTTTCATTGAACATATCCTTGAATCTTTTGAGTTGTCCACCCAGTTTCCTCTTACCGTCTACAAGCTGCCCATCTTAAGCGGGATTAAGTAATCATGACTTCAGCGCTGTCGCAGCTAGCTTTTTCAAGGACTGATAAGTTTGAATCCTGGGGATTATTATTGCTCGGTACACTGCATGTTTCGTTTTTGTGCTCATGATTGTAGAAATCTTAAATTCTTTAAATTTCCCGAAGCCTTTTAATTTCCCGAATGCTCTTGAGGCGCTGCTAATTCTGTGCTGAATTTCAGAGTCGATCTTGGCCTTTTCCGAAATCAAACTGCAAGGTAATTGAATTCCGCTACATATTTCCATAGTTCTTCTCCAATTTTTATAGCACTGTTATGATTTTCCAGGGGAGTGCACATGATTTTAGTTTTATCGATATCCAGCTTAAGTCCCAAGCCTCGTATGCCCAGGTATATGTGTTTTCTCAGCATTTCTTGTAATTGCTGTAAACGTTTTGGCAACTAGAGCGCAGTCATCCGCTGATTGAAGTTCTGTGATGAATTTTATACGTATTTTTACCGTATATGTTTTACCAACTAGACCGCCGTCATACCTGTATCTAACACCCATTCATCATTCATCTTTCCTGCAGTTTGCTGTCCACTATATTAGAGAGCGCTACCATGAATATGTTGAATAGGAGAGGAGCTAAGACACATCCTTGCTTAATTCCTGTATTTGTCAGGAAGGTATCGCTTAGTGATCCATGATGTGACACTCTCCATTTGTTGCTATGGAGACTTTTACACACTGTAAGAAATTTGTTGGGTACTACGAACTTTTGCAGAACTGCCCAAAGTGCATCTCTGTTTACAGAGTCGGAGGCTTTTGTTAGTATGAATGCAACATATAGTTTACTCTGCTCCTTCTTTACATTTTCGCGATCGCGTTGAAGCGATAGTTGACCTGTCCCGATGTGTCGTGTATATGATTAAATAAAGTCACATTTGAATTAATACTTCATAACAGTTAATTAATGAGGTAAAATTATACGAATGTGGCTCTAGTGTTTATAAGAAATGATGCAACCAGAAAGTATAAAATTGGGTCTTTTTTTTTTCTTTTCAACTATCGATTCTTTTATTATAAATGTGAAAATATGACAGATGGAACAAATATTTAGAGATTTATATGTTTAGTACCGATGTTCCCAGAAAAATGCAGTGTTTTACAGTATTTGCATATTTCGTTAGTATTTTCCAGCTTATTTAGTGGTAAAAAAACTCTATAAATAGTAGATATTCTGAAAACAATGAGTATTTCTATGAATCAACAAAATACCTCTCGTAAAGTTGGAATTATTTTCAACCGACGCAATCAGTGGGTGTGAAAATTCGAATGAATGTATTAATCAATTCGCGTACCTCAAATGTATGCAAAGAATTCCTATAATTATAGATGTTACCATATTATTATCATCTTTGAATATATTTTATGTAGAGAATAACTGAATAAAACTTGCTGTCGGCAGTTACAGATATGAGGCCTTAAATTAGGGTTACGCTAATCTTTTAAAAGATGTTATTCATCAAAACGAGAAAATAACCATTTTATTCTCTGTAATTGTTTATTTTCTCTTTAGTTCCATGAAAATTTTCTAGTTCCAAGTGTTTCATGATTTACTCATTTTCAACTAAATGATTCATTTCGTTGAATTTGTAGAATATCATGTGCTAGTATCGCTTTTAATACATTGTAGCCATTTTTAACATCCGGTAAATGTTTTCACGCCAACCTTAACACGGCGCTGAATAACGCGCTAAAAAAAATAATTATATTATTACCAACACCGTAATTAATGAGTCAACTCTGGCTCATTCCGATCTGTAACTATAAAAATTTACACGCGCAATAAATAACTCTTCATATATATTATGTATTCTTATCTAACCCAAAATAAATCAATTTTACGTCATTAATATCGATTTGGAACTATTAAGAATTAGATCTATTCGAAATTGAGTAATAATTAAAATTGCTATTTCATCAATATTTTTTTTAATTAGGAATATTACATAAAAGAACAATTAAATTTAGATTAACAGCTTCTTCAAAATAAAATACAATAAGACAATAATAATAAGACAATAAAATAACACTTTCAGTTAATCAACATAAAATTCGTATTATAACCACCTAACTTACTTATACGTATAGCTAAACATATCATTTTTTTATTTCAGTTCATTGGCAACTCTGAGCCATAGTCTGGAAGACATAACTTCCTGGGGTTACGGCCACCACGCCGAGACGGTGCTCACCATTGAGGAGCTTAGGGACCAGCTGAACTGCTGTTTCACCTGCGGAGTCTCCTGGGCCGATTCTCACGTGTCCCTAGACTGCTCCGAGTGCGGGGGCTACGCCATGGAAAGACCGTGTCCTAAGTGCGATGGAGCCTGTGGTACCATATGGAAACGGGATTTGAGCACTGTGAGTACATGCGTTAGATTGGCTTACATTGAACATGCACTATCGGTACAACACTTTTCGATTTATTGACTTAGGTTTCATTCAAAATCTCAAAATTAGTGGTTGAAAGTATACTTTATACTTAAAAGTTTACGATCATTGACAATGTCTAAAAAATTACAATTAAAATTAATAGAATATTCTAGCAATAGCTTGGGGTACCCAGTTGCATCCACAGAAAAAGCCTAATAATTACTTTATAAAAGACTTCACTTTTCATTTCTAACCACAATTTTTCTTGACGTTAATTTGAATTAAAACAATAATAAAAATAAAAAAAGGTCAAAATGAAATTACTCGCAAGTATATTTAAGTTTCATTCAGAATCTAGCAATTAGTGGAATAAATTAATGATTTCAATTAATTACATCTTATACTTTTTAGTTTACGATCATTCACAATGTTTAAAAAACACAATTAAAGTTAATAAAATTAACTTAACGAAAGTTGTATCCATAGAGAAAGCCTAATATTTAGCTTTTAAAACAATCAACTTTTGATTTCTAACTACATACAATTTTTCTTGACGGAAGATAATCAACGGCCAAAATGACCTTTCTCGCAAATTTTGAAGTATAATTAGTGGAAAAGTCAAATGTTTGATAACTTTTTCTACTTACTGAAAATGTCTACCGTTTTACCACAATTTTGACATTCTAAATGCTTACATTGAAATTAAAGGAACAAACTTCTACGCTAATTGAAACCACTAATTTATTTCACTAATTACGAGGTTCTGAATGAAGCACTGAAAATATCTACCACTTATTTTGACGTTCTGAATGCTTACATTGAAATTAAAGGAACAAACTTCTACGCTAATTGAAACCACTAATTTATTTCACTAATTACGAGGTTCTGAATGAAGCACTGAAAATATCTACCACTTATTTTGACGTTTTTAATGCTTACATTGAAATTAAAGGAACAAACTTCTACGCTAATTGAAACCACTAATTTATTTCACTAATTACGAGGTTCTGAATGAAGCACTGAAAATATCTACCACTTATTTTGACGTTCTGAATGCTTACATTGAAATTAAAGGAACATTAAAGGAACAAACTTCTACGCTAGAGGAAGAAACTTTTACGCTAATTGAATCCACTAATTTTATTCCTCTAATTGCGAGGTTCTGAATGAAGCTACAGGTTTGTTAAGTTTTTCTACTAATCGAAAATTATTACCACTAATTTTGGCTTTCTGAATGCCTACATTGAATTTAGAGGAACAAACTTGTACGTTAATTGAAACCACTAATTTATTCCACTAATTGCGAGGTTCTGAATGAAGCTAAAGGTTCATTAAGCGTTTCTACTAATTGAAAATTACTACCATTAATTTTGGCATTGTGAATGCTTACATTGAAATTAGAGGAATAAACTTCTACGTTAATTGAAACCACTAATTTATTCCACTAATTGCGAGGTTCCGAATGAAGCTAAAGGTTTTTTAAGCGTTTCTACTAATTGAAAATTACTACCACTACATTTAGCATTCTGATTGCTTACATTAAAATTAGAAGAATAAGCTTCTATGATAAATGAAACCACTAATTTATTCCACTAATTTCCAGGTTCTGAATTCTCATAAGTTTCTCTAGGCGTATATAAATAAAATTATTAATAAAAGATAATTAATGGACTAATGATATCCTTCTTTTTTACAGTCCCACGCCAGTGGAAAGGCCAAATGGTCTGGCGAATGTAAATCCGCCACCCAGCAAAAAAGAGACCAGTGCTCATCACCTGTTTCCCAGGACCTCAGTCACCGTCTGGAGAGGTTAAGTGCCACCTCATGACGCCATTTCACCCTCTAATTTATTCTAGATTAGGCTTTAGGATAGGTTCAGGCTAGACTAAATTATACCTCTATTACAGGGAGATATTTATTTATATAGCTAGTAAAATATTTTTCGTAAATCGTTATGTTAAGTACGGATTATAATTATTTTCGGAGACGGAGTTAAAGGAGTGTATTTTTGTCATTGTTATGGAGGATTGTCTCGAGATCTCGCCGCGTTGACCAACGCGCTAATATTTTGAAGATCGTTTTGTCTGTCGTAGAAAGGTGCATCCACTAGTGGTCACTCGCAAAGAACACAAAAGTCTGTATTGTTTTCTAGTTGTATGTATACACCCATTTAAATCATTCTCCTGTTAAAAAATCGAAAAAATTATAATACCATTTCTTGTTTCAAGAAATAATCCTTCTATTTGCTGTTGTTTTACATTAAAACCGATTAATTCAAATTTGGTAATATCACAATTACCCCCTAATTCTTAGTTGAATTATATAGATAGCCTAGTCCGTGTTGTTTACAAAACGTAAAACATAGTTTTTAATCTCCCATCTCTCTTGCGTTTTTGCTTCATTAACTGAAGAAACGATACTCAGTTTATTAATGTAACGCTAAAAAAATACCCCAAGAGAATTTTTAAAAACTATGTTTAAAGGAAAATGTTCAAATTTCTATTTTTTGCAATCGACCGAAGAATGGCAGCAAAAAAAGTTTAAAATTAATTCTACACTGATTCGACGTACAATAAATAAATTTAAGTTTGAACTGAAAACTCGCCTTCAGGAATGACCTAAACGTTTAGTAATTTTTTCTATGCGCTTTAGAATGTAGAATAAAATGATCTTTTTTTGTATGACTGAAAAATTTATATAACACTGTATTCTTATGATAAAAATAAATCAATTGTATTAATTGAAACTGTCTCTTTATTTTGGTTAATCGAAAAATAATATATTATAAATGAAATATGTTAAAAAGCTGGACATCCTGGATTTCGACAGATGCCGTCATCACATATATGTTTTTCATTTTTGAACTCGAATTCTTTAGCTTGTTTAGCAGATATATTAATTTCCCTACGAAAATAATAACAAGAAGTAAAATTATTGCTCTAAATAATAAATTAATGAAACCACAGAATGGACATAAGAGTAAAGATTTTTATTTATTTTAACTCTGGATTAATATTGTAATAGTGATTCAACATATAGGCTTGGTGCATTTCAGTTGATTTCAACAAATAACAATTGAAACGTGGTGCTTCAACAATTCACTAACTATAAATGAATCCAAAACAGAATTTATAAGATTTAATATGAAAAAGCAAACAAAAGACTTAAATATAATTCTAAACAAGCAAAAAATAAAAGAAATATCTGAAGTCAATTACCTCGGCATTAAAATCCATAACAATTTAAAATGGGACACACATATAAATAGTTTAAAAAAAGAAAACACCAGAACAATTGCCACACTCCTGAAAATTAAAAACATAATACCACCAAACATGAAGAAATCAATATATCATACATTATTTTCATCAAGAAATATATATTTAATTAATACGTGGAGTAATACAACAGAAAAAAAAACTTAAACATGCTACAAAGACAACAAAATAAAATACTAAAAATATTATATAACCTAGATAAACTAACACCAACAGAAAAAGTATACCAAAAAACAAAACTAAACATAAGACAATTAATAAAATATCATAATAATATATTACTTCTACACAAAATCAAAAATAAATTAATAAAAACAAATATTTCTCTAAAAACTTACAAACAAATACACACTTACGAAACTAGAAGAAAATCAGACATCAGAACAGCCAATAGAACTCTCACAAAAACTATATAACAACAGAAACTACCACAATATAAATATAATATGTTACCAAAAGAATTAACACAATTACATTATAAAAATTTTAAGAAAAAATTTAAAAATATGATATTTGAGAAGAGCGTATAAACGTAGAAGACATAGACCAATTTATAAAAAAAAAAGAACAATGCCTTCGATACCACCTGCCCAGGGAGAGTCTTAAAAGTCTTCAAACTGTTGCAGATGAAGAAGGACGCAACCAACAAATGCCACGAAGATATAAAGCTTAACAATATTATTGAATTGTATATTTTTAAACAGTTGTATATATTTTAGTTAATGAATATTATAAATATACTAGTTGAAGCCTGGCGCATCCACCACGACATCAGGAAAAAATACTTTTTATTTTTATTTTTTAATTAAATGAAAAACAAAAAGTCCGGCGACGACAGTTTTTAGAAGAGCCAATTAGCTATCTTTTAGTAAAAAAGCAACTTTCTAGAGCAAGTCGTTACTTCAGTAGAGACAACACAGATAAACATTAGCATTTTATTATATGTAGATAATATGTAAATTCCTACCGCAACGCTTCAACGGCAAAAATCAGAAATTATCCCTACCTATTTCACACCGCCGCGCCGCGCCGGCGCCGCGCGTCATGTTGATCGTATTAAAATAATATTGAAATCGTGGTTTTGTCATAATATTTAAGTATTTTAGTTTTTTGCTAGTGCACTTATTGAGACTATAAAGCACTCAGGCACGAGGTTTGTGTGATGTAACGCTATTTCGGGTAGTAAAAAATAAGTGAAAAAGAATTCGAACTAGGCGTCGTGTTGTGTTGTGATAATTTCAGATGTTAATAAAATTGTCTAAAAAATGTTAACGCGTAAAGGAGAGCGTAATTAAGGCGTTGTTAGGTGCAATAACATTCAATAATTCAACTTTCCCGGATATTCAACTCTCCCGAAACAACATTTTAAAGCTTCATAGTTTCTCACACCGATTTGATCAAAAGCAAAAATGGATTGAAACAGTTCGACGAAACAAGTGAGTAAACAAAGTGCTCGTTATATAATCAAAAAATTAAAAAGACTATGAGAGGATAAAATATAATTTGCAATATTAATGGTATACTTTATTTAATCAGCTAGTGATTTGTTGAAATGTTTTAAGAACATCTTCTAAAATTATAAAATCTTTAAAAATTTTCGTTATAGCCGAAACAGCCCCAATTATGCCCCACTAGCAAAACCGGTGATTAAAACTCTGCTCGTTACCATAGTTGAACTCATCTAAAAAGTGTTTTAACTGAAATAATAATGTTGCGGACCGGTGTGGACTCGACCTAACCTAACTATATAGCCCGCCCTCGGATGACCTTAACATCGCATTAAAGAATAGACACCGTAATGATTCATTCAAATACATTTAAATTTACATATACCGCGGCCTCCCCATAAGAGCAATGAGAGAATTTATGTCCCAGGATTGAAGGACAGAAGATCGAGTTTGACATAAGTCCATCCTTGTTCAGTAGATGGATGTAATGCACATGCGCCGAAATGCTACTTTTCTATTGGCCGAATGGTGTCGAGATGGGTTATCGATTTATTTTTGGACGCGTCGTCGGCGTGGATTTTGTTTTCAGTTTGGACTTGGGCAGTCGCCATTAGAGTTTACTCTAACTTTCTGTTTTCCACGTGTACTGTGTTTTCGTTTGTATTTTAATCTTTGTGCGTTTATTGACAATTTTGTGATTTAGTTTTAAAGACTTTTGCTGTAGTTTAATTAATAGAACAATGGGAATGGGCTACTGCTTCTTGTGTGGTAGAAGCCAACTAACCAAATTAATAATAGAAATTTTTCTCGATGTTCGTTTGTATCATGAAAGCAAAATCAGAAATGAAAGGGATGTTAATATAAGACAAAAATATACTAAACTAATTTTATTCAAAAATCAATAATTGTTAAAAGCATTATATTTAGTCTTACTATTTTAAAATAAAAAAGACATTATAATGTAAAGACTAAAAATAGAGACTACATAAGGCTAATTATAATGCTTACACAGTTACACACAAACTGTCTTATTGTAAATTATTATTGTTTTTTTTTCATAATATAAAAGAGTATTTACAATGCAACAATGTAAATAATTATATTTTTTGTATCTAGCTTGATTTATGTATAAACTTAATATGTACATACTTTTAGTTATATTTGTTTAATAAAAAATATGTTAATAATAAAGAATTACTTTTGTTTCATTTTAAACCAGGACTGATGTTGATTATTGATCAAAATACATGGGCAGTAAAAGAAACAATAGACAGTAAAAAATGTACTGTTATACTTTGTTTTGCTGCAATTTTTAAGTCGAGTGAAATAGATATGCAATTTGTAATACTAAGTTCTTAAGACAGTTCCTTAATTGAGGTTTTACTAAATTATTTTTTGAATTTTAAAAAAAGTGAAATAGATATGCAATTTGTACTACGAAGTTTTTAAGACAATTTCTTAATAATTGTGGTTTTACTAAATTATTTTTTGAATTTAAAAAAAAAATATCGTACCTGTCACTTTTTTTCATTCGTTTTATTTAATAATAATTGTCTAACACAACAAAGTCTACTTAGAACGATATGATATAAATATAAATGAGTTCATTAAAAAATGGTCTGATTAAAATTAGTACCTAAATAAGCAAAAATTATCCCCTCATAAAACAAGAAATTAAGGAGTTCAGTAAAAGGATTGCAACTATATATTTTATTCAGTAAATTTTCATAATAGTAAGTATAAAAGCACAATCTCTAAAACGACAATATGAATAATGTATATTAAGATTTAACTCGAGTTTCAGTGAAAAAACTATATTGATATTAAAATATTTTAATACCTTCAGAATACTAATTACATACCATAAAATAGGAGTTTTTACGATGCGGGAAGCCTATCTAGAAAAAGAATTTTAGAAATCAGCAATGGGATTCTGTAAGCTCTGTAGCAAGAAATTTCCTATCGAGCCTATGCTATTTGTATACGATTGATGAGTCACTAGACAGGGAAATGTTTACAGAATCGCACTGCAGATACCTATTACGCTACTAGGAGCCCCCCATTGTGAGACAGATATAAAATAATTTTTATATACCTATTCCATAGCCTATTTTTTTAAATGTCTGTAATATTTATAATAAACTTATTTTAACGAGTAGAAGTATTGCACCAGCATCAAAATTAACACTACTTGTAAAAAACTGTTGCTCCTTGAGTTTGTAATAGATATAAACAAAATAAACATTCGAAAATAACTAAATCGAAGATATCTGAAAACTTTTGGTTGAAAAAGTGTTTTGCCATAACATGTTGGATACGATTAAAATATCTCAATTGATAAATATGCGCATAATGTTACATTATCAAATTATTTGATTTCAGAATATTTAACAAAAACTTCCAATTTTTCGAAAGATTTAATTCAATTATTAGAACGTCTTTAACCTCAACTTAAAATAAATAAAACCAAAACAAAACATATCATATGATTTGGAACTGTCCAATCAAAGTGCTTACAGATCGAGCAAGCGCAGAAAACCTCCTCCCGAACAAGGATAGACTTATGTGGGAAATGCATTGACATTCTATAGCCATCCTTCAACATCGGGACAGGAATTTAAGCGGTACTCTCCGTATATTTTATTAAAACGTATTTGGATTCATTGTACAACGTACGTGTATTTGTAAGTACGAGTTGTTTACGATATTCTCCGATGGTAGCAGCACCGCCGGAGAATGCACCAAGCCTATAGCATACGATAAAAAAGATATCAAAGTTGACTTAGAAATAAAGCTCGTTGTCATTTTATATATAAAAGTATATGGTGAACGTTATCCATCGTTATTTCTAAGCCAACTTCACATCGTTTGTTATCGATCATGCGCTATTTATTATCAATAGATCTATAGATACCTTTTTAAACTGTTAAAACAGTTATGAATCTTGGCATCAATAATGGCTTGTACACACGGATCCTTTTCAAAATTAAATAGCGGTTTATGGGCGTTATACTTGTGCGAATCGTGTAACAAAATTTCCAATTTTTCTAATGATTCTTCTTCGTAATCGCTAAAACACTATGATTACAATTAGTGTATATTCTCAATAAAATGATTAATTCAAAAACCAAAATAACAAACTACATACAAGTTTGTATAATAATGAATAGTACCATTTAATGTAATATCTTTTCTTTCAATCGACGATAATACTTCAAATTTGGAAACGCGTATAATAGCTTAGGGCCGATACATCGTTTTACATGGATAACCTTCAACAAATTAGAGACAAGCTGCAATTTTGCATGGAGCTTCGTTTTGTAGATCTTTAAACATCCTGAAACCCCAGTGATAAAGCGTTGAGCCCGTCACCCCAAAACCACCCCTACAAGGGGTAAAAGTGGCCCTTTTTTTACTTTTTCTTCAATAACTCTAAAACTACGAATTTTAGGAAAAAACGAGTAGAAAATTGAAGAGAAGGAAATTTCCTACCATAGGTAAATAACCAAAATTTTTAGAATTTCAGTGGCGCAGGTGCGAAGTCTTTAATTTAGGAGGATTGTTTTAATAACCCACCATTCTGTGTTTAACTTCAAATGAAAGCATTTTTGAGATAAATCTCGAGACCAAAAAATTTATTAGGATACAAGTTCCTATAAAAACGATCTTTTTAATTAAGGTAAGTTACCAGGGGCGGAGATAATTTTTTTAAATGTGGGTTTTTTACATTTTAAAAACATTGAATAAGAAAAATTGCAGTTTTACAAATAATTTCCCATGAAATAGGTATATTGAAAAATTACACGTTTAATAACAAAATAAGAAAAACCTTAGCTCAAAAATAGGATAACTTATCTTAAGGATAGTCCTCATTCACTTCCACATTTGTTGGGTTCATATATGTAATGCCATTGCATTGACCACATGCCATAGTGCAGGTGAGTTCCATTCGCTTGAATGTACATGCTTTTTTACAGCCTCCCGAAGAGCAATTGCAAAAATTTTTCTCTAAAACCCATGTAGGAGCAATGGGCTGGTCTGAATGTATTGGATTCATCTCTCGATTTTTCAGATTCAAAGCCCAATCTTGTGGTGGTAAATTGTTATTTAACCAAGCCTGTACCCTGCGATATTTTCAGATCTGTTTTTTCACAATACTATAATTATATAACATATCACTATGGTAAAAATGTCACTGTTGTTTTTGATGGCTATGAAGAGATACAGACCAAAATTGTGAAGCAGAATCACAGATCTGCCGGTAAAAAAATGGTACCAATTGTATCTTTCTCGAATTTATCTGCAGTGAACATACCAAAGGCAGATTTTTTGTCAAACACCAACGAATGAAGTTGCTTTTGTTGGTGTTAAACACCAACAAACGCAACTTCATTCGTGCGCCCGGAAAAGTATTGTTGGAAAATGGAATCATTGTTAAATTCGCTGATGGTGATGCCGATACTCTTATTGTAACTACAGCGGTCGCAATAAGTGACAATTTACCAAAAGGGACCGTAGCAGTAGTTAGCGAAGATACGGACATTATAGTGTTACTGATTCCTTATTGCTACAAGAGACTGTTTATGATTCGTCCGGGAAAGGTGTCAAAACCAAATAAAATAATCGACATATCAGCCTTACAACAAAAATTGGGGGATCTGAAGAATGTGATTCTTAGAGTCCACGCTATATCTGGTTGTGACACAACGTCTGCTGTGTCCAATAAAGGGAAGATTAATTTAGTGAACACCATCCAGAAGAAAAAGTTATGTGAGCTATTAAAAGAATTTTATAATCCCGAGGCTACAAAGGAGAAGTTAGAAGTAGTTACATCTCAGTTTTTTATAGCAGCATATGTTAAAAATTCGACAAAAAAGTAGATTTGGATAGTGCCAGATACATGCTTTATCAAACGTAAGTACGTAGCTAAACGAAGTCTTATTACCAACTTCAACTTGGCATTCATTACCACCTACCTCCAATAGTGCGAAATATCATGGACTTAGAGTTTTTCATCAGGTAAGTTAAATTTATGTAGCATTCAAATGTTAAACTAAATTCTCATTTTTAACTTACAGGTACAGGCTTGGTTAAATAACAATTTACCACCGCAAGATTGGGGTTGGAATCTGAAAAATCGAGAGATGAATCCAATACATTCAGACCAGCCCATTGCTCCTACATGGGTTTTAGAGAAAAATGTTTGCAATTGCTCTTCGGGAGGCTGTAAAAAAGCATGTACATGCAAGCGAATGGGACTCACCTGCACTATGGCATGTGGTCAATGCAATATTGAAGAAAAAGTAAAAAAAGGGCCATTTTTACCCCTTGTAGGGGTGGTTTTGGGGTGACGGGCTCAACGCTTCATCGCTGGGGTTTCAGGATGTTTAAGGATCTACAAAATGAAGCTCCATGCCAAATTTCAGCTTGTCTCTAATTTGTTGAATCTCTGCCTGTATAGGCTCTGGGCTATAAGAGATCTAGCTAAAGTAACTGTTTAAAAGCGATTTCACGATTAAAGCCGGGACCTAGTACAAGGTCCGGGTAAATCCGGATGAATGGAAAATTGAAACACAATGTATACTTATATATAATAAACCTCCGCTACCCTAGATATTTAGCCAAACGACCAAACTGGCTATGACAAGCGCGTTTGACAACACATGTTTGTCAAGCATGCTTGATCACGTTTAAGTATGGGGGAGTACTTAAGTAGCGCTGCCTATTTGAAAAAAATATGATGTGGTAAGAATAACTTATCTATTACGAAAGATCTCTTTATTCTTTATTAAAAAAAAGTTACTTAAAAGTAAATTTATTAGTTTACCAATACTAATGTCTAATCCTCGATAACATTAAGAGATTAGATTAGACAGGAACACACGAATTAAAATTAATTGGAATCATTTGGTTTTGGCACGTGGTGCCAATAGCAATTATACAGGGTGAGTCTTTAAGTGTAAATATTTTAGGGGTAGTATGATTCGACCTCAGAAACATGTCTATGACGTTTATCGCGAAAATAATTTGGAATTTATTGATAATTTTTTTAACTTTTTGGACTTTCATTGTCTTTATTTATTTTTGATTAACACAACGTTTCAGTCAGAAGGATCACTGACCGTTATCAAGTGTAAACTAATTCCTAAAACTACTGAGCTTTTTCTACTATAACCAGGCATTACCCGTGAAGAAGTTAGGTGCAGTCCGCTTCCACTGTAAGGTTATCCACTTAGAATGCCTCTTATTCAAAGGAATGCCTGCATTTGTGCGTTTTATCAGTGGTTGCAATATCGTGGATATTTCCGTACTAGGATTGCTAAAAATGTTGCTATTGTTTGCAATAAAAACGGCCTCTTTAAATTTACGCTTTTTCCAATGAGGGGTTCCCTGTGAACAACCCCAGCTTCTGACCACTTTATATTGTGCTGTTTTTAACAAACATGGTCAGCAATACATGCGCTATTAAAGAATAAAGAAGAGTACATGCCTTGGCATAATTACGTCTAGGGTTTGACCTCGCCAAAATTATCATCGATTGTCATTCCCCAGAGGTCTTTGATGTCGTTTTTTTCTCGGTCGTATGGTTGGAAGAGGAGTAAGAAAGGATATTACATTGAGTATTTTTTGTATTTGAAACGTATAATATTGTATATTCTAAAAAATCTATAATATGGCATAAATCCTATAAAGTAGGGTTGCACAGTTGTGTATGTATTCCAAAAATATATTAATTGCAATTATAAATTATAATTAATATATTAATATTATAAACAAAATATTGATTATACCAATATATCATGCTAAACTTATAGATTAGATAAGTCAATAGGTATGTTTTCTTAATATGTTTTTTATTTTTAAAATAAATTGCAATAAATAATCAGTATGATTTTTTTCACTTACAAGGTCTCTAAACAACCCGGGCATGGACCAATGCATATCTAGCAATTCCTCTCTTTCTTTCAAAACTACCTGGTAAATTTTTCTTATAGTTTCATCATTGGTCACTGCAATGATAAAAACAATACAATAAATCGACACTGTAAATGACACGAGATTAGATAAATAAATATAGAAATATTTATTTATATTTCAAACTTGAAAAAGATGTTTGGATAGTATGTATTACTTTCTTCATTTTTATAGAAACCAAGAGAGATGACCAAGAAATCGCCAACTGCGATTCAATCGCAGCGATTTTTAAATGGCAGCCGCAACCTGCGATTGGCTCTCATGGGAAACTGCGGTTGCGATTTCTTCTATTTGCGAGTTTCAATTTAGCCAACCAGTATTACTGTAGCTGCCATTTGCAACTTTGTTGCGATTTGTGATTTTGCTGCGATTGTGATTTTGTAAACTGGGACCGCGATTTCTATCTGCGAGTTTGAATTTTTAGGAGTTGCGATTTGCGATATTGTTGCAAAATAATTTTGTGGTCTATTGAAACATTTTATAGTAAACTGCGATTGAATTTTCTCTCTAACATTATTTATTTATAGAGAAGGTATTATTTTCTAGGGCCACGATCAATAATACACCGGGTGTTTCTCTCCCCCTCTCTCTCCCTAACCCCTATAACTTTTTTATATTTTCAGATAAAAAAGCGAGATTTGGTATGTTAGTATATGACTTAAATTAGTATTGATTGACGTATTCAATTGTTTTTAATCACTTCCTGTTTCACCGGAAATGACTACAACTTTTGATTTTTAAATGACACCCTCGGTATTTTTTATTTTATTCGATAGAAAATGACGCTCTGAATAGAATGGCATATCACTTTTGACATTTTCGCTTAAAAATATCGTATTTTAAATTTCAATATAGAATGTCATAACTGTGTTAAAAGCACTAATTTTAATCAAGGTGACTTGGAAAAATAGATTTGATCGTCTATAGTTTTTCGCGTCTTCTCCTAGCCTGTTAAAAGATGCCCAAATCGTATCTTTAATCATATCTCAATTTTTTCAAATGGAGTCTGGACCCGAGAGTCTGGCCATTAATTTTTGTGGGGGTGGAGGGTTGGTAAGGTGGTATGGGAGAGGGTTAAAAATATTAAAAAATCGTAACTCCAAAATTACAGTAGCTAGCGAAACGCGGTTTTCAATTTAAGATTGGGAATAATATTTGCAACAAAATTTGTAATAATATCAAAATCAGTCAAAGTCGCAGTTTTTGAGATAATTGAAACCAAAAGAACTGCCTACCAACTTTTTATTAACATATTTTAGTAGGGGCGGCTATACGTGCCTCCCGGCGCCAATTTTTTTTATATCATACTATAATCACTTCGTCTATTGATATATTAATTTGGCCTTCCAACTTAGCTTGGATAAAACAGTTAATACGATACAGACACTACAGACAGCATCCATAGTCTAGGAGCTAGTCCATGTCACGTGTACCGTTGTATGTCCCCTAAATTTTGTTGCGGGGATTTGTTAAGCACCTGTAAAAGTAGTTGAGGAAATTGGTCACATGGTCCAGAACATGGTCATTTGGTCGCCATATTTAAAAATGGCTGCCAAATTCTAAAAAATTTTTTTTGACTATATTTCCGTAAAAAGTGCTCCAATTTTGCATTTTTAAAGATCAACTTACTCCTCTTATGAAGAAAAAAATTGTAATTAATTTACTGACAAATGTATTAGTTACTGGGATATTTTTAATATTTCCACTTAGCGGAGGAATTTGGAATATTTTCTTTAATTTTATTGAAATTACACATTCTTGTGAGTAATTTCAGGCGATTAAAAAATCAGTGAAGCACTTGGAGTACTATAGGCAAAGCCTCTCATAAAAGTGATCGCATAGACATTGTTTTTGACGTTTACAAGGAAAAAGCGTGAAAGGATTTGAGAGGGCTAAGCGATCGCGGAAACAGCCTGTGGAATATGGAGCACCAAATGACAACACACCCCTTCCTGTGGATTTTGACGCTTACTGGGCCTTCTGTCAAAACAAAGAATTATTGCAGTCATACTTTGTTGATTGGGTATCCCGGAAAAAAGATTCTGTCACTGCATCTATTCCCATTTACCTGGGTGACGTTGTTAAAGATGGTCAGCCAAGGTGTTTCAGTATAAAGAATGGCAGAATTGAAGAACGTAGTTATTTGTTCTACCGATACTGATGTTTTTGTTAGTGCACTTTACCACTACTTGCAGAAGTGGAAAAGTGCAGGACTTAAAGGGCTTTATGTTGCCTTTGGAGTAGGAAAAACGTTGCGGTATATTCCATTTCACTCGTTTGATGGCAGATTACCACTTAATGTTTTCACAGCTTTACCTGCTATTCATTCTTTAACCGGTTACGACACTACAAGCAAGGTTAGTACAAAATTAGCAGTTCTGAAAGTAGCAGAATCGTATGCTGAAAAGCTCTTGTTAGAATTTAGTAAAGAGCCATTAAATGAAGAAATGGAAAAACAAGCAGAAGAATTTTTGGTCGTGCACTTTCATCAAACTTGAGTACAATGGATAAGTTGCGTTTCCATCAGTTCCATCATAAAAAAATTACGAAACTTTCAAGATTTGGCCCCTACTTCAAGATCAATCCGTCTTCACATAAAACGGAGCTACTTGCAATTCTACAAATGGATTCATGCTTTGGAACCATGTGAAAAACTTAATCCGTTGAACTATGGTTACATAGAAAAAAGGACCCTGAATATTTCCTAGTCCATGTAGTTGCCAGATGTGCTTCAGAGAAACTGTATGTCTCTGTAGAAAATTAAAAATAATGTGTTGCGACTTTTGTAAATGTAAAAGTAGTGTTTTAGACCAATGCAAGAACCCTCATACATAAGTTAGTAAGTTTTCTGCTTAAACATCATAATTTTATGCATTTGAAAAATTATACTTGTTGCGCATTTTTTTGCGAATACGTCTTATGCATTTAAAGCGTTTGATTCGATCCCACACAAACGTCTTATACAAAAAATGGAAAATGTGGGAGTTTTGGGGATTACAAGCACACTTTTTCAATCGTATTTAACACAAAAGTTAACGGGGTGTTTAGTACTTCAAATTTTGTAAAGTATGGTATTCCTCAGGGTACTGTTCTGGGTCCTGTTCTCTTTTTAATATATTTAAATGATTTTTTGGAAATAAAGCTAAATAGTGGAAACATGACGTCGTATGCGGACGATACCGTAATCCTATTTGAAGGGAGAACGTGGCAAGAAACGGTCATAATGGCAAATCAAGGGCTGCACGAAGTTAAATGTTGGTTGGATGAGGATTACCTGACTCTGAATGCGAATAAAACCGTGGCAGTTCCATTTAATGTCCCGGAGAGTTTTTTTTTCTAACTTACATAATATAAACATTGAGGGTGGCTATGTTGAATATCGGAATACTACAAAATATTTAGGTTTACATTTGGATGGCAATCTAAAATGGAATAATCATATTAACATTTTAACTTCAAATATCAGAAAGCTGTTTTATTTGTTCACTCAATTAAGATTATATATGAATTTTGAAACCTTAAAAAAGATATATTTTGCATTTGGCCAGAGTTTATATGGCATTACAGCGTGGGGCTCTGCTTATAAAACATTACTAAAGAAAATAGAAACAGCACAAAAAATTCTTTTAAAAATAGCTCTATTTAAACCATATCACTTTTCCACTAAGGAAACCTTTGCATGTTTTCAAGTACTGGATATACGTCAACTATACATGAGAAGTGTAATAATATACATGCATAAATACAAAAAATCGACAAGTAATAATATAATTGTAACAATATATTTACTAGAGCCTATTCAAGACAAGATTCAAGCATACCGTTTATGAAATTTAAATTAACACAACATTGTTTACTTTATATTGGTCCAAAACTATATAACCTTTTACCTGTGGATATAAAAAATGCCACAATGATGCGGTTTAAATCTTTAATAAAAAATGGATAATATCAAACCATTCCTATCGCAATATTATCTAAATTCTAAAAAAAAACTATTCTATTAGTGACTCTCTGGTATCCGTGCCTTGTAGTGCTGACAAGATCGGTAGTATTTATTTGACTTGTAATATGTAAGTAACTCTTTTTATTTCTTATTTTTGATTATACATATAGTGAACTTATTATGTAACGGCTAGAGTTTAGTTTACGCAACAAATTTTCTTTTTTTATTAATTATTGTTATTCCCACGCACAAGCTCTCAAGCTTATGTGGGATAATTTTGAAAATTGTTTATAGTTTATTATAATAATTGTACATGTTTATAAATAAATAAATAAAAAATAAATATAAACTTGGAGAAAGTTATACACACTCGAAAAAAAAAATATATATATACAGGGTCCGGCAATAGTGCGTCGGGCATCTGTAGCTCCTAGAATAAAAAACTTGGGAATTTTGTTTAAGTGCAAACCTAAAGTATGTACTAGGATGTATTTCAGAAAAATATTTTAACTTCTATAGGGTGGCTCAAAAAAGTGTGAGTGGATCTGGATGATTGTTTTTAAATGGAACACCCTGTATATTATTGCATTTTTGGCTTCCTTTCAGATCATTTTACATAATCCTAGAACATGAGTAAATATATTTCTATAATTTCAGAGATATTAATAAATAAATAAAAATTATATATTTTTCAGCCTTTCTTAAAAAAAATTATTAATAATGCCAAGAACTGTCCTGAAATCAAAACTATATTAGATATTTACTTTAGATGGTCTGTACTTACTTTGCTACAAATATGGAAATCGTAATTCATACAGGATGTTCAAAATTCTACGCCAAACTTTCTAAAATATAAAATAATTTTTCTTTGTTTTTTTAAATGGAACACCCTGTATATTATTTTTTCAATAGATGGAGAATTAAAAAATTAACATTTTTTGCCTTTAGAGTATTTCAATATTTTTAACGGTTCCGCAGATATTCCCGGTTTTGTATTTCATATGGCAGTTTCTACAGTAAATTTTTATCAAAGCCACCCAATGATTTTTCTCCAATATTTTACCATTGAAAGCGCCATATGAAATAATACTGCGGGTATCCGGAAAACTATTAAAAATTTTGAAATACTCTAAATACAAAAAATGTTAATTTTTTAATTCTCCATCAAATAAAAAAATAATATACAGGGTGTTCCATTTAAAAAAAACAAGAAAAATTATTTTATATTTTTGAAAGTTTGGCGTAAAATATTGAACATCCTGTATGATTTACGATTACCATATTTATAGCAAAGTAAGAACAGACCATCTAAAGTAAATATCTAATAGAGTTTTGATTTCAGAACAGTTCTTGTATTTTTAATATTTTTTTTAAGAAGGGTTGAAAAAAATATATTTTTGATTTATTTTTTAATATCTCTGAAACTATCGAAATAGATTTACTCATATCTTAGGATTCTGAAAAATGATCTGAAAGGAAGCCAAAAATGCAATAATATACAGGGTGTTCCATTTTAAAAAAATCATCCAGATCCACTCACACTTTTTTGAGCCACCCTATACAAGTTAAAATATTTTCCGGAAATACATGCTGGTGCATACTTTAGGTCTGCACTTAAACAAAATTCCAAAGTTTTTTATTCTAGGAGCTACAGATGCCCGACGCACTATTGCCGGACCCTGTATATACTTTTATTATTTTGAAACGAATTTTTATTAGCGCGCTTAAAACGCTCCATGGTTCCATATTTTTAAATTATAATTTCCTCAAAAGAACTACAATTAAAAAATATGTATTCGCAAAATTTGTTTGTGGTCAAAAAATGAGTATAATAACCTTTAAAACTAAAATCCCGACCGTTTGTTAGGAAGATATTAAAATATATAAAAAATTAGTAACATGTCGGCCATTTTTAAATATGGCGACTAAACGACCACGATCTGGAGCGTGTGACCAGTTGGTTTTTAAGCTCTTATACATATTTAATAAAACGCCGCACAAAAACTTAGGGGACATATAACTGTACACGAGACATAGGCTAGCGCCCGCACTACCAAGTAGACTTGATCCTTTTGAGTTAATTAAAGTATACCCAATTATTCGTTTTTGTACTTACTACAATCCATATACGTTTGGTGTTCTAAATAAAATTCCGTCGTCACAGCGGAACGAGTATCCCACATAGGTTTAGTTCTTTTTATTGCAGAAATTTGTGGACCCATACAGGATATATTTTTCGACGGTTGAGAACTACTCACAGATTTTTCTTCCTAAATAGAAATCAAAATGATGCATTAATTTTTCGATATATTTTAATACTTATAACCTAGTGCTGTACATCAGATCCGGATCCTTTTTCAATCCGGATCAGATCCGGATGTGATCCGGATTTTTTAAAGTGTACAATCCGGAACCGGATCGATCCGGGTATATACAGGGTGCTACAAATTCGAGGTACGAGCATTGGTATCTCGGAAACCGTAATAGATACAAAGATGGTTAAATTGGGACAGAGTTGCGCCTTGAGATGTTCACCAAGATGCCATCAAAAAAGTTTAAAAAATTTCAAGGATTGCTGAGTTTTTTGGAAAAAACGGATTTTTTGGAAAATTAATTTTATTTTTTCCTGTCATTACTTTTTAGAAAATCAAAAAAATAATTACACATTCTCATTGCTACTTTATTAGGGCTATCTGATAGTACTCTTATTGCCAACTTAATTTTTTTAAATACGGACCTGCATTTTTTATTTCATTAAGGCATTAAGGTTTTGAAAGAACTCGGTCTCCTGAGTATAATGATATGCCACACTTGATACTTTTTTGTTTTGGGTACCTTAACGACAACAAAACTATTTAATTATTATTTGAAATAATTTCAAGTACGACTCTGGTTTTTTAAATTATTTAATCTGATTATATTCATCGCAACAATACTGATCAGCGCTAATTAACATTGAATAAGGAAAATTGAGCCAATTCAAAGATTCAAATAAATAATATCCAGGTCAGAAATTTAAAGATATTATTTTTAACTTATTTATTGTGAATTTGGAATCTCAGTGTACGATCTAATAATATTCATAATATTAGTCGTAGTTATTATAAATAAATCAACTTCTATAAACTAGTTTCTAATGCTCTACATGTTCGAAAGGGTTACCACCCTCCCTAATGCACAATTTTTTTTTGTTCAATCTTATTTATTGTTTATAGCTCTTTGAACATAACTTCTTGTTATAGTTCCGAATGCATTTTGTACTCTTTATTGTAAATGTTGAAATGTATTGATTTCACTTTTACAAATGACGTCAGGTAATGCCCCTTTAGTTATTGCATTTGATTTTCCGTATTCAATGTTTTACCCCACGTCATTGTTAAGTTTGAAAGATTAATTATCAATATTGTAACGATAAATAGACTAAATCTTTAAAAAAAAGAGAGCCGGACTTGAAATTAGTTTAAATAAATTATGTTCAAATGTGCAAATGTCCCAAACAAAAATAATATTAAGTGTGGCATATCATGGTACTCAGGAGACCGAGTTCTTTCAAAATCTGAAATAAAAAATGCAGGTCCATATTTAAAAAAATTAAGTTGGCCACTGTATCTCACAAATTATCCGCTAATTTGAAAATCTAAAAATACTATCAGAATAAAATTATATAAGGATTCTTGCCACTTAACTGCTAATATAGAAATTTAATTCTACGCTGTGTTTGTCATAATGCGGATCAACCTGCTCTCACTACCGGTTTCGGAGCCCTACTCCATCATCAGGTGAGCTTGGGAGATCCACAAAATGACAACCACAGCGCAGAGAGGGTTTGAGCAGGTTGATCCGCATTATGACAAACACAGCGTAGAATTAAATTTCTATATTAGCAGTTAAGTGGCAAGAATCCTTATATAATTTTATTATATACCTCTACTGCAAGAAATTTGTTTTCTATTTTTTAATACTATCAGATAGCCCTAATAACGTAGCCATGAGAATGTGCAAGTAGTTTTTTGATTTTCTAAAAAGTAATGCCAGGAAAAAATAAAATTGATTTTCAAAAAAATCCGTTTTTTCCAAAAAACTCAGCAATCCTTGAAATTTAAAAAAAAATTGATGGCATCTTGGTGAACATCCTAAAGCGCAACTTTGCTCCAAATTAACCACGTTCGTATCTATTACGGTTACCGAGTTACCAATGCTCGTACCTCGAATTTGTAGCACCCTGTATATTCGGATTTAAGATCCGGATTTAAGTCCGGATTTAAGATCTGGATCCTATGGAAAAATTTGTTACGATTGTTGAACCCTTTGAAAAAGCAACTTCATTACTATCAGCCGAAGAACATGTAACATTATCGATGGCGTCTTTAGTGACGTCTCTTATGATGACTCTTATGACGTCTTTAGTGAAAAATTTTTAAGTTATAAGTGAAGATGATTTACTATGCGAACCTGTAAATCTTTTTAAAACCACTGTTACTGAAGAAATAAATAGAACATTCCAGTTGAATATGAACGATATGAACATAGAAGATGAAGATGCAGACTTAACAATTTTTGACAAGTCTTCAATCATTGATCCTAGATTTAAAAGCTCCTTGCCTGAAAATAAAAAAATGCACTTAGATATCTGGAACTGATATTAGAAAGATGTAATAATTCACGCAAAGAAGAGCGAAATGCAGAGAGCTCAAGTGCAATGGATTTTCTCTTCCCGAAACCATCAAGCAGAAATAAGTTTAATGAAGTTGAAAGATACATTCAAGAGCAAGATCTCGACAAAAATAGATGTCCACTAAAATGGTGGGAAGCCAATGAAAAAAAAATATCCAAAGTTGTCAAATCTAGCGAGAAAATTCCTGTGTATTCCCGCGACCTCCACACCTTCCGAAGGAGTGTTTTGCACACAATACTCTTCTATACCGGGTGCGTCTCAAAAGTGACTCGCCCCTATAATATTTTTTTTCAGTTAAAAAAAACGAGATTTGGTATGTTAGTATGACATAAATTATGATTGATCGATATATCCAATTGTTTTCGGTCACTTCCTGTTTCATCGGAAATGACTACAACTTTTGATCTTTAAATGGCATTCTCGGTGTTTTTTACTTTATTCGATAGAAAATGACACTCTGAATAGAATGACATATCATATATCAAGTTTTGACAAAAAAATCGTATTTTAAATTTTAATAATTTTTTTAATTAGTATCTTTGTTAGTATTTCAAACTGTAAAAGTTGACATGAATGACATGCTATGTAATTCTATTCAAAACGTAATTTTCTATCAAATGAAGTAAAAAATACCAGAGGTGCCATTTAAAAATCAAAAGTTGTAGTCATATCCTGTGTAACAGTAAGTGACCGAAAAGAATTGAATATATCAATCAATCCTAATTTATGTCATATCCTAGCATACCAACTCTCGTTTTTTATCTAAAAAAAATCAAAAAAGTTATAAGGAAGAGCCAAGCCACTTTTCAGACGCGCCCGGTATAGAAGTACCTACTTGTAGGCTGAATTTTTTTTTGAGCCATCCATAATTTTTTTTAAATATCTGCCTCTTTAAATACGGTATTAAATACATATAAAGTCGTTGAAATTTTAAAGACAATTCATTTTAAACTGATTTAATATATTTAGAGAAACAAGTTAGAGAAACAGAAATTTGAAGTCATCTTCAAATGCTTCAAACATTATATTAATAAAGTAATTCAATTAAATCAACATAAAGTTGACTTTAAAACCTCTCCTCTTATCATTTAAAATAGCTGCTATTTTGATGGTTACTTTTTCAATGTAATAAAAAAGTAGCCATAAATAATTACTACTATTTTATAAATAAAACTTTGAATATGCCCAGTAACTTACAGGGTCAACGACCAGATCTTCAATGAATGATCCAGTGTCTTCCGTGAATGTCGTGAATTGCGTACCCAGTGATGTTCTCATCATATCATATTCATCATCTTCAGCTCTATAAATAAATTTAAAAAAAGTTTTGTTTCGAAAAATTCGATAAACAATTTCGACATTTTGGACTTTTTACAAAAAAAGAGCATCTGTTATGTAGATATGAATGAGATTGAAGCTTTTAAGTCCGAACCAGGAAACGCTCGAGTCAGGAAGCCAAGAAGATGGCAAAATTCTGGGATTATAGTTAAGGACAACACCAAAGGTTGGAAACCAAAGGTTCCAACTAGAGGTGGGCAAAGATTGAACGAGTTGTTCATCTGAACGAGTATTAAAAATGAATCGTGAGATTCGATTCATTGCTTGCAATCCGGTTCGTTCAACTGAATCGTGGCCAGCATGGATCCATAATATTTGAACGATGAGCCGTAAAAAGAATCGTAAAAATTGAATCAGATCACAATGCGATTGTGCGTTCAAAGAATTGTGAGAATTGATTCATTGCTTACAATACGATTCGTTCAATTGAATCGTGGCCAGCACGGATCCATAAGATTTGAACGATGAGCCGTAAAAAAGAATCCTAAAAATCGAATCAGATCACAATGCGATAGTGCGTTCAATGAATCTTGAGAATTGATTTATTGCTTACAATACGGTTCGTTCAACTGAATCGTGGCCAGCACGGATCCATAAGATTTGAACGATGAGCCGTAAAAAAGAATCGTGAGAATTGAATCGGATCACAATGCGATCGTTAGTTTCTACGGCGCGGCACCGGCGGCGGTGATACAGGCATAACTGCAGGCACCAATATTTGTTTCAAAATCTCTGAAGCCTTCTTACGCACACAATAGTAACGCCTAAAAAAGAAACGTACAAAACAAATTAACACTAAAGATACAGTCATTTTCCACACTGCATTTAGTATTATTTATTGCAAGACTATCGTCATTTGTTTAACCTACTAAAATTGGAATATCTGCATTGTTATATAAAAAATACGGGCCAATAAATCTCCAGGGCATTCTGTCGAGCCTTGGATATTGTTCTTCTTACTATACTATGATGTACTAACTAAATACAGCTAAATGTACTAACTAAATACAGCCAGCAATAAAGTAGCTCTCAAAATGAATTTAACAAAAACTAAAGTAATGTACAACGAACTAGTAGACAGAAAAAACATTCTAATATATAACACAAAACTCGAAATAGTAAAAGAATGCATATACATGGGACAACTAATACACAGCTCGGGATTTCTACAACCAGAAATCAACAGAAGAATTAAGTTAGCATGGAGTACTTATGAAAGAACTTCAATCATATTCAAATCTAGAATGCCACTTTATCTAAAGAATAAAACAATCGACCAATGTGTACTACCAGTCATGACCTATGCATGCGAAACCTGGACTCTTAAAAAGGACATTATAAGAAAAAACTGCAGGTCGCACAATATTCAATGGAACGAAATATGCTGCAAATAACCAAGAAAGACCGTAAAAGAACAGAGTGGATACAACAAAAGACCCAGGTAATAGGTAGATGTCATCCACAGAATCAAATCCCTCAAGTGGCAATGGGCAGGACACCTGGCAAAAAGGACAGACAACAGATGGAAATTACAGGCTGGTACCCACGAGGAAATAAGAGACCTAGAGGAAGACCAAACCTGAGATGGGACCATGATATTAGGAAATTAGCAGGGATAACTTGGGCCCGCATAGCCAACAATAGACAACAATGGGCCCAACAACAAAGAGAGTATCTAAACATGTGAAGGAAACTACAGCAGTATTGAAAATGGTTTAATAAGCTGAGAATGATGATGACTATGATGTAACATTGTTTGGAGCATCATGTATCACATAGCCTTGTCACAACTACCCGGCATATTCGTTTGCCCAATTCGTGGATGTAACATATTTCAAGCTATGGGTAGGTGCTTATCTGCAACTCCTAGTAATTCGGTATATTCAGAATCGAGAATTATCAAGCTGACCAAGATGTCAAGAGCCCAGACCATAGCTGAAATGTGAGTACCTATACCATTGGTACCTTATTTACCCCAATAAATGCTTAAGGAAATCACTATTTGCGACATTAACGAACATCCAACTTTCTTTAAAATATCATATAACACTTATATTTTATTATATGATTAGTTGACCCGATAGTGAACTAAGTATGAAACATATTCGAACACAAACTTGAAATGATAGTACCATCGTCTCAGATAATTCTCTGTCCGTAGACGATGATGCTGTTATAAAGATAAATTATATGAGCATACCCTTGTGTACACACATGATCCACTATTACGTCTAGAATAGATTCTACTTCCTTTCGAATGAAAACAGATCTCTCAGCAGCGAATTGTTTACGACACTCCTCGGCAACAATCGGTGAGGGAATTAGCTTCAGGGTTGTAGCATCCCTAAAAACAAATAAAATAAAAATTGTATTTAAAGTAACAGAATTAATTGAATTTGCACAATAAGAAGCTAACACAATAAGCGGTTTTCGTTGTTAATAATTTTAATATGTACTCGTTTAAATTAAAAATTATAAAGTACATTATGCTTGTACACGTTTCTATTTTTCCAGCAAGGCTAAGCTGGATGCAACCTAATTTATACAATACGAGAATTCCGAAATGCGCTCAAAATCGATCGATTTCAAAATATATGATCTGTAAAATGAGCGAAGCGTATGGCTATGGAGCGACTGATGGTATTTTTGATGGATCAAAATTTTGAAATTTAATATAAAAATAAATAATTTGACCACTTTCTATATCTAGTATTAATTTATGGTACTACCAAAGATTAAAATAAAATTTTTGGGCCTGTGATTGAGTATTATAAATAGTAAAAAGTATCTACTAAGTTAATTAAATTAAAATAATGTATATCAAAAATGGATAGACAAAAATAAACACAGCCTTTAACACCATTGTATAATTTGGATTCCAAACAAAAGTCACATTAAGCTGTAGGACAAACACATTAAGCAAAGCAATTTTCAAATTGCACAATATTATAATGTCGTTTTAATTTTAAATCCGCTTCGTTGAACTTTAATTACAGTTCAAGTTCTTTTCCATTCGCGTGATGTTCTTTAACTTAAGCGATTTTTAATTAAATAATAACAATACGAAACAGCAATATTTCCAATCGGAGAAAATATTTTAATTTATTTTTTATAAAACAAGTATTAGAATATAAAATGTAGGGTACTAGATATCGAAACATTATTTAATCAAAACATATATTTCCTATTTCGCTTGTCCTAAATAAATTGATAGTAATGGAGTTATTGCAATTTTATTAAACACCACATATTATGGCATTTATTTTATAGATCCTTTATTCTGAAAATATTGTTATAGAGTATACACATTTCTTAAGATCAACTCAATAACCATCAATTCGAAGTTAGTCAAAACATGCCTAGAGAAGCTGAACAAATTAAGTAAAGAAAATAGAGCCCTCCTATTATGGATGTCAGCCCACCAAGGGATAGAAGGTAACGAAAAAGCAAACGATCTAGCTAGAAAAGGAGCAACTAACTGGACTAGAACCGTTTTGCTTCAAAAGTGGAAACCAACTTAAAGTGGAACGGTCTAAGACACCCAAAGAAATTTTTTCAGGACTTATAAAATGTAGAATATAGAATGAGTGGGAGGGAGGGTTAATCACTGCGACCTTAAAGATCTATTGTGTCCCCCTTCCTTGAGTTATAGCTCATCATACAGTCTATAACCCGTCATACATGTTGAAGGGGAGACAGGGTATTTCCCATCCTCCTCTGACAACAGATGTTCTTCCTCCGAGGGTATACACCCTTCCACGGTTAGAGTTTGGCCTGCCGGCCTGCCGTGCCCTTCACAGTCAAGAGTTTACCTCAGGCTGAGGTACCCGTGAGGTGAAGGCTGGAGGATCTGTCTTAATTTTCTCCGCCTCTTTAACATGGTCCATCCCTAGACCTGATACCGGTGTTCTCCCGTATCTATAATAGAGGATCTATCCCTCTTTCTCTATTGCCTCCTTGGATTTGAGATCAATTCCTATTGTGAGAACCTGACTATGAAGCTTCTCCCTCAAGTTGATGACTCGCCAACTCGATGTCCTTACATTGGTGTTCTGAGTCTAGATAAGGCTCAGCAGAAAGGTGGTGTCTTTTCCCTTGCTCCTCGGCAGAAAGACCATGATGGCCGCTCCTTTTGAGATGTTTTCTCCCTTCACTGCAACCAGTCCCGGCCTTTGCCAATTTTTAAGCTTACGTGCAATTTCCAAACTGACCAATATTTTGTAGAACGTTGTTTTACAATTCCGGTCGCCACTACTTTGTCCAGTGTCGCCTCCTCTAAAGCCGCTTACTGCTCAGTGGTCAGGGCTACTTTGGCAGCACCGCCATTTTCACTTGTTCAGCAATAGAGGCATAGGAAATGATACGTCCCTGATTGCCTCCCGGTGTTGGACGGCTTTCCATGCTGGCTTTTTTTTCTGCTTGCCGGAGCAGAGGTAAGAGATTGTCGTTCCCTCTCTTGCCCTTTGGTGGAGATACTACCACTACCAGGCTGTTTCACACTACCAGGCTGTTTCTTGGTTCCTTCACTCTCCCCTTTTCCAAGCAGTGTTTTCGCTTTTGCTTCTTCTGGAGCAAGTCCTTCGTGGAGCAGTCGGAGGTATCTACTAAAACCTACTCTCAGAGGATCGTCTATATAGCCCGCCTGATTGATCCAGGTCGGGTAGACCAAACGGTAGCTTGTGTCACTTATTGGGTCTAGAGCAGGGTTTCTTAAAGTGTGGTCCACGGACCCCTTAGGGGTCCATAGCGTGTTTATCAGGGGTCCGCGGTCCGCGTTACGCCAGTTAACTGTAAACATATTTACTAAGAAAAGAAATAGTGTAGGGCGGCGAATTTGGTAGGTATTTAATCACTAAACACTAAGCGATGAGCGTAAGGATAAAAAAAAAACAAAGTTGAAGCTGTTCCCTTATCAAACGATGTTATTCATTCTAGAATTGTTGAAATGTCGTCAAATGTTTTACAAGTTGTTGAAGAATTAATTGCTTCACCGTTTCCATTCAGCATTCAATTGGATGAAAGCACCGATGTCTCACAATGTAGCTAACTCTTGGTATTTGTCCGTTACGTACAACAAGACACACGTAGTATTAGAGAAGAGTTTCTTTTTTGTAATTCGCTTTGAGAGACTACAAAGGCTTCAGATGTTTTTGAAATAACAAAAAGGTTTTTCAACGAACAAAATATAGACTGGAAGACTAAACTTTGTAGTATCTGCACCGATGGAGCTCCCGCAATGCTTGGTAATACATCTGGTTTTACGGCTTTGGTTAAGAAAGAGATCCCTCATGTCATAATAACTCATTGTGTCTTACATCGACATGCCTTGGCTTCACGGACTTACCTATATTTCTGAAGAATGAAGAATGAATGAATGAATGCTTCCTGAAAAATGTCTACATATGTCAAAATAATGAACTTCATCAGAGCAAGAGCCTTAAACCACCGCGGCACCGCCTGTTTAAAAGACTTTGTCAAAAGATTGGGTCAGAACATGAAGTGCTGCTTTACTACACAGAAGTTCGTTCGCTGTCAAGGGGACAGGTCTTAAAGCGGTTGTTTGAGTTGAGGACAGAAAAAGAGGGTGGAATCTGGTAAATTTGCAAATTTTCCGATGTTTGAAGAGTTAATAGCACGGTGACGGCAACACAATATCAAAAATGCTACAGAAAGAGGTGCCTAAGCATTTGGATATATTGCAAACTTCTTTTGAAGGCTACTTTGACTTATAGAATCGCTTGAAAATGAAATGTGTGTGCGGGGTCCATTTATAATCGACACGGATAATATCAGCGAAAAAGATCTCATTAAAGATGACTTAATTGACATGAGATCAAAAGAAGTTTTGAAGCTGAATTTCATGCAAATGATAATATCAGCGAAAAAGATCTCATTAAAGATGACTTAATTGACATGAGATCAAAAGAAGTTTTGAAAGCTGAATTTCATGCAAATGATCTTGACAAGTTTTGGTGTTCTTTAAGTCAAACTTACCCTGTTCTTGTCAAGCGAGCTATGTCCATTCTGATACAATTTGCTATTACGTACCTTTGCCCCGTGGCAGGGTTCTTGGTTCTGGTCTCAATAAAAACAAAAAGTCGCAACCGATTGAACGTCGCAGATAATATGCGCCTTGCCTTGTCGAAGATAACCCCACAATTTAACGTTCTCATTGAGGCTAAACAGCTGCATCTTTCTCACTAATTTGCTTGTGTACGTGTAATAAATCTACTAATAAACGTTTTCTTTTTATGTAAATAAGTTTTTTTTATTTTCCTCTATTATTTCTGATAGGGGTCCGTGGAATTGTACAAATTGCGAAAGTGGTCCGTGACTACAAAAAGTTTAAGAAACCCCGGTCTAGAGGTAAGCTCCCGACCTTTGCTGGAGGAGGTGGTAGCTTGTGTACTACTTGTGGAGGATGATCTCGCGCAAGTGTCCCTCTCCTGTAGTTCCCTTTGAGTTAGGTCCCTTGGAACTTTCATTATTAGTGTTCCCAGTGTCACTAAGGGGTTTCCGCACAGCTTCACCGGTGGTGTTTTTAACGTACCTCAATGAACACATCAGTAGATTGAAACTAAGAAACAACGGCGAATGGAGATTCTACGGGGGAAATGGAGAAACACCAGAACACCTCATCATTGAGAGCGCCGAGACGATAACCATTCATGCATTGATATCGCAAATGGAGAACAAACCTCTATAAAACCGTCTCAGATATTGAATTTTATCAAAGACCTGAGACCGATGAGTTATAACTCAAGAAAGGAGGACACAGAAGGAGTTTAAATAAATTAGTAAAGTAAATTATTATTACACTTATTCAACTATGTATTTAAAATGTGATATGTGTTTTAATTATGAATATGTGTGATGAGATTTTAACAAGCAAAAATACTTAAGTATTATGATTCAAAAAGGATATTTCTATATTAATATTAATAGTACTTACGCAATAATACTTACTCGGCTTTAATGGCATATAAAGTTTTCAAACCTTCTAAAAGTGCTCGAGGAGTACTGGGAATTGTCAAGACAAGTCTGGTATTTAAAAAAGTGTTTCTAAGTGCTAAACCCATAACCAAATTAGTGTAGAAAATAATGATGTCATATTTAGCTTTTTGGAATTCACTATGAGCTAAAAATATATTAACGATATATACCATATGATCGAAAAAAGACGGCGTCCAGTTGGCTGGAAAATTACGATCGATGACATTTCCCATATAAATTTACATATAAAATGACTGCGATCTTCATTTCATAGCCGTCACTGACGCCGTTTTTTTCCATTCATACGGTATTTCGTATGACGCATAGAAACTATGATTGCCAGGTGTTGCACAGACCCGAGAGCAGAGTACATAAGAAAAATATTAATTTTACTTCTGTAAAGAAAAGGGCGGAATGAAGATATGGTCATTTAAAAACCATTTAATGTTAAAGCAAAAATTCAATATCAGAGGAGTTCATAGTAAAAGACCGAATTTTAATTTTCTTTAAAACGGTATGAACATTTCAAAAAGTATAAACAAGATTAACCATTTTAGAACAATCAAAACATTTTATGAAAAATACATTTTTCTCGAAATGTTAATAATAATGTTTTTCCTCTTGTAAGACAATCCAGGAACGTACTATAACTGTTAATTTTTTCATCCGTTACATTTGTTCTCTCCAAAATCTCATTCCAAAATTATTATAATTTCAAGGAATTTTCCAACTAGTATAGCCTTAATACAAAGTCGCTGTTATGTATGGAAAGGATCGATTATTAAGTAAAATATAGCAGGTAGGGGAGCGGGGGGTACGTTGTTACAATTTTTAGATAATTGTCAATATAACTAAAGCTTTTAAATAATTTATACATTTGATTGCTTTAATCGTTAGTATGTCTATTCAGCTATTAAAATATGATTGAAAAGTTATTAAAATTTATGTAATTTTTTCACAATGAACAATTTAACCAAATGCGTCGATTGTAACAACTTACCCCCGATTTGGGGCTAGTTGTTACAGCTTCGGGGCACGATGTTACGGTAGATACATAAACAAAATCATCAATAATAAATCATTTTTTTATTATTTCAAAGCGTTATAAACAAAAGATATCACTTAAAACAGCCTTTAACATTTATGATTAATTATAATATCTACAGCATCGAGAAAAAGATCCGTGTATTTCATTCTGGAAAACACGAACATCAGCGGAACTGAATTTCCAGCAGCATTTATGGGACATGCAAGTATTATAAGTATTCTTCTTTCGGCAGATGATATCGCATAGACCTATTTTTGTCCACGGATAGCAACTATTTTTTAGGCTTCTGTACCTTTGTGACACCTGTTTCGTCAACGTTCCATATGCGCTAAGCAGTGAATTCATATTTTTGGAGTAAGCCTTGCAGATTGTCAAAAAATCTTTAACGTTGGTTCCGGCCCAGCCATATTATTTTTAAGCCAGATGGGGGGAATATTTGTTAATTTGAGTTTTACAGCACATTAGTAAGCTAGTTTTCGGACTTCTGTTGGTAGTAATCCAAAATATATTTCTAAACTTTTGAGTAGATAAGAAGCCAATTTATGTTCTGTTTCTTGTGAGAATACCAATCTAGGTTTAACGCAACCCAATGAACAAGATTCGTTGTTTTTGTTTTTTCTGACATAGCTGGATAAGGCCATCGGATACAAGTTAAACATTTCGCTTAATTTACGAATGTCCGTTTTATTTTGCAGTACTTCTGCTGCAGCATATTCATAGACATATTGACTAATTGTACCTCTTTCTGTGTTTCTTTTATAGTTTCTCATTCTGAAAAAAAAACAAAGGGTATTTATAATTTTTAAAATATGAAGACGAACGATACAAGGCATGGTATTTTTTTGTTACATGTAACAACTTACCCCAAAAAATTGTAACTACCTGCCCCATGGCACGTTTTTAAATATAAATTGAAGGCAGCATTAATGGATCTCGATAGTTGAAAAAACAACATTGCAAATTAAAGGTAGATGTATTATGAACGTTCAAGGTTTAAATTTTTGAGGAAATTAAAAATATAGGCATCAGAAATCAAAAATTTTGTAAAGGATTTGTTTACTTACTTAGTTCAAATCGAAACACATGCACACAACTTAGCAGCTTGGCGCTTTGGGGGTCACTGATCATTTTTATGTAATGCACGATGTTATAAGAAAACAAATGAGTCCACTTATATCCACCAAAGAGTTTAAAATCTCGGTAAAAACGGCGTGTAAATTCTTACCCGTGTAACAACGTGCCCCCTGCTCCCCTACCGCAAAAAGTTAAATATAAAAATTATAGGGTTTATAAATATCTATTAGCGGGTAATAAATTTAAGTTTACAGTGTCGGTTATAAAGTCGTGGCACATTAAAGTTTCATTTTTTTTAAATGGAACCCCCTTTATATTATTACATATTTCGGTTCCTCCTTCAATTCTAAGCAAAAAGCGAAATAACACAATGTACCTCATACCAACCGTTTCCGAATTATTGACTTTTAAAAATATCACTTAAACAATTTGATTTAATTAATTTCGATATGTTCAGTTTTATTTTCTGCCGAAACTGTGATACTTAATAATATTTGACATTAGTTCTCAAGTTCACATTTATAGATGTATAAATTGATATGATACAACTTTATGACCGACCCTGTATACTTAAATTTACTAGTAGCTAATAGGAATTTAAAAACCCATTACAACAGTATCACAGTTTCGGCAGAATGGCATCATTAAATCAAACCAAACACATCGAAATTAATTAAATCGAATTGTTTAAGTGATATTTTCAAAAGTCAATAACTCGGAAACGGTTGCTTTGAGGTACATTGTGTGTATTTTGACTTTTGCTTAGAATTGAAATATGTAATAATATACAGGGGGTTCTATTTAAAAAAATGAGACTTTGATGTGCCACGACTTTATGAACGACCCTGTATACTTAATTTATTACTAGCTAATAGATATTTAAAAATCCAATAACTTTTGTATTTAACTTTTTGCGGTACCTCCTATATTTTACCTAATCGACCGTTTCCATACATAAAAGCGACCCTGTATAATTCAGAAATGGAGATATGGTAGGTATAGTCTGTCCAACGACAAAATCCTTGACAGTGATAGATGTGTCTGTCATTTTAATTTCAAAGTAGTTTATTTTATTTTACAAAGAAATAAGTTGTTACAATTGGAGCGATTGGAGCGCATAATATATTTAAATTTTTAGTGACAAGTGATTACTTCAAAATATTGTGAAAAAAACTGTAGAAATCTAATCTTGGTTAATTAACTGTAATCTTAATTTTTTCTGCAGTACTAAAATGTATTATTTACCCAAGAACAGTTAACCTAATAGGACTGCTCATTCAGCCAAAAGTGTCCGCCAGGTGCATGCGAAAACTACTCGCTTTGTGACGTCATTGTAGTCCTTGTCATGGTTATTAGTCCTTATCCGGCAACCAATAATACACACACGTACATTATTGGTTGCCGGATGCAAAACGTTCATTATTTAGTTTATTTATTTAAACACCTTATATGTATACAGTATAGAAAATTAACTGTATAAATCGTATTAAATACTCGGATAATGCATTTTTAAGAACAGCAACTCCCAGCATCACCTTTTGCAAGCATTCTTTTTAGAGTACTTCCATATTTTGCTTTAAAATAATTAATAAACAATATCGTAGGCACTTAGTAAGCACTTTGTCACAATCCACAACACAAAATGAACGTATATACACTCTATAGCTCTAAAAACTTTAAAGACACCTTTTTCACTTTTAAAATTAACAAAATAATTAACTCAAAATTTCTCAGCCATAGGCAACTAATAATACACACTATCATGACAAGAACTACAATGACGTCACAACTGTCAGCTGAAGCGCGGGAAGAGGCGAACGTATGTCTTATGAGGATGAGCAATTTTATTAATTTACCGTTCTTGTTATTTACCTATCGTGTGATGTTTGGTTTATTTTACAGATACTCCAGTTTTTGGTAGCATATACGAGATGGTATACAACTTTATTTGTAGCTAATACAACTCTCTGGCCATAGTCTCTAGCAAAGTGTGTCTCTGGCGGTCTCTGTGCACGAATATTAACTGTAAACTATGGTCTGGGTCAACACTTAATATTCTCTCGAGTTTTCCTCCACTTAATTTTAAAAAACACGAAACACAAGTAACAACACAGTCCAAAATACAAAATGCAAAATATTTATCATTCCTATTTGACAATAATTTGACACAAAATTATAACCTATAATTGGCAAGAGTTTGACAACTCTCAAAAATCATAAGTCGGGTTCATACGCACAGGCGTCCGTTTGTCGTTCATCGTTGTGTCAAACCAATAATACTGAAATATGATCTGTCATTTTTGAAATAAACCAATAAAACTGGTTAAAAACAACAAGAGACGACGCTTGGCGTATTTATTTATAAACCCATCCATAGTTAACTTAAAAAATATTAGAAACTTTTTTTAGTGAAATAAATGGATTGGTATGGAAGTCATCTGCTTTTTTTCTGTCATCGTCTGTCGAAATCTTACCTGAGAAAAAAAAACCGAGTATATGTCTCTGCATAGTTCTGAATTTTCTGTTACTTTAGTTTTATGTTTCCTAAAAATCGTTACTCTTTTACAAAATATATAAAAGCATTTCCTTAAAATATTTTCAATGGTTCTTGTAGGTTAACTTTGCTCGGTTTTAAGTGACTGACCTGACAATGGACTTTATCCGTCCAGAAACTAGTCTCGCCACTTTTTTGTTTTTAATTTAATTGTGAACAATGGATTATGAGAAGTCAAGGTCTTTAATTATTGTCGAGAATTACTGTCCCCTTAAGAAAACTAAAATTTAATTATGTACTCATACTCTGGGTTCATAGATATTTGATTGAAAATTAGATATATTATTTGTAAATCTGGACCCTCACTCGTAATATATTCACTAAAGCGTAGTTGACACGGTCAAGGTGTACTTGGATCAAATACACTTAGGATTTTAAATCAGTTGGTAAATCCAAACTGCCTCCAAGTGTATTTGATACAAGTAGTACTGTAGTACATTTTACATGGTCGATCAACAAGGCTTAAGATACAGCATAGATTATTTTTAAAGGTGGTTACATAGTAATATCATTATCTATATATTCATACTCTTCACCACTATAATGTTTTATAAGGTTGTCGATATACCTATTATATTATAATAGGGTAGAAGCACCGGTTGTGGCCAGGTTAAGGGATTTTTAGAGTTTGACTTATCAGAAAAAATATTTGTAGTTAATTTTGGAGATAAAACAAAATTTTTGGTGCTTCTCCAAACATTTTTCTTTCAAAGTCTGCTTTTATTGTAAAGATCTGTATTCTTAATAAACAGAAAATAGGCATTTTATGAAAACATACGATTTTTCCCATTTGTGGCCACCTTGTGCCAAATGTGGCCACATTTACTACCATTTGTGGCCACATTCTTGCAAAAATATTCTCTATATTGAATTTTGCAGATAACTAAGCAAATAATATTATTTTATTTATTAATTTCTTTAAAAAAGACAAAAAGAGATATTTGGTAATTGTTTATATTTTTAATAAAAAAGAACATGAATGTTTAATCCTATAATTCTTAAAACAAATGAAGTGATACCTAATATCTTATTTTGTTTTTTGGCTATGTTATACAAATGTTTAATAAAAATTAGGTACATATTAATACTAATTTAAGGAACAATAATAAGCAAAGTACATTAATTTATCAGAATATTCTTGAATATTTGTTAGTTCATATACACATATACTTGTTCCACATATACACTTCTTGAATTGACTGAATTTTTTAGATTCCTCAATTTTCATTGTTATATCACTCAGTTTGTACCAAAACAAGTCATTTTTACTTCCAATTGCCGCAGATTTGGACCATTTCGCAGCTATAATATTCATTATTTCCAATTTGTAATATATTCCCTGGATTCAACTGATTCCCCTACTTTAAAATAATAAAATTTCCTATATTTAATTCAGCAGATGCCACAGAAGTTTAAGCTGGCGTTGCGTTGGTTTCTGTTTTTAATTTCTACTAGGAAGATCTTTTTATTTTCTTTAAATTTTATTTTAGTTGTTTTCTTTTTTGTAGAGTTTTCATTGCCAGTTTGTTTTTTTTTTCTCCTTTCCCTTCATTAATTCAATCCACTTATCATAAGTAACGACTGATGGTAGATGTAGCCTCTTTCTTTTTAAAGATTAACATCTTCCCGGGCATCATCCTTAGGTTCATAATTATTTCTAGTCTTCTTTTCCTGCATGGTTTGGTCCTGAATCATCTTCCTCTGAATTCTCATAATTTTTATTTTCATTGCATTCGTTCATATTTATTCCATTTAGTTCTATATCTATATTATTTTCTATATTCGTTTTCTCATCTGAAGGAAAACTTGATGACGGTATAGGTTCAGATTGGTAATCTTGGCCGATAATTATTGTATTTAGGATATTACTATATTTAGGTCCTATTATTCAGCATTTATTAAAATCTGAATAATAACAAATAAGATGTTCTTCATATTATGTTGTCCGTCGTTTGCACTTACATTATAAAGCTAAATAATATGTGGCCACAACTAGATTTCGATTGCACTATTTTTGGCCATAAGGCTACAAGTAGAACAGAATTAAAATTTTATTACACCTTTTGTGGCCACAGAAACAATTCCTAAATATTAATTATTTAAATATGATAAATTAAGAAAATAGTTGCCAGATGTATAATATTTATAAAAATCATGGAAAATTAAACCCCAATACAGATTATTGTTAATAATTTGAGTTCTACTTACCTAGCTATCCTTAAGAAATGGGTTAAGAAAACAGCATCTAGTAAATATGTGGTACTACTTTTTGGTCTAACGGCCGACTTTTACACCAAATTTGAATATTTTCTATTGGATATGGCGCAGGATATATCCATTTAGAAAACTATAGATGCACGGTTGTCACAATGGCGCGAAAAAGCTTAATTTTTAAGATTTTTTAAAGAAGTGGCTACAACAGGGTCAATGGCCACAAATGGTGCTTCTACCCTACTTAAAAAAACACTATAGTGGAGTGCTTTAAGCCTTTATTGGATACAAACCTCGGAATTCATTTACTATGAACGAATTTTTAGAAAAATTTTTGCATTATGTTGCTAATAAGATATATCACAAAGTTTACCCATTTAAATCCGTTGCTTTCACTTTAGTATTTAAATAAACACACGACAAATGCATACATACAAGATGGCTCCGTGTTACGAAAAAGTATCAGGATTCCTATTTGAGATTTTCACTCCTAACCTTTTACAAAATATGTGTTTAATGGTAGTTCACATTTCAAAAATATTTTTTACAGATATACAGGGCGAGACAAATATATTTGTACACTTAAGTTTTAGCTTTATATTTGTTTAGTTCAGTGAATTTGCTATAAACTTCCGGTTCTAAAAATACCTTAATACTATAGAGTATACTAAGTGGTTTTTGAATTATGACCACGTCCATGAGGACGTCAATCTAGACGTCCAGGAACCTTCGTATGAGAACTTCTAATCGAGACGATCCACTTATTAACAGAATAAATAGCTAAGAAACCGCTTTTCAAATTTATAATGAATTGCCCCTAAGGAACGTACATATTAACTAACGGACTATAAGAAGAAGACTAAATAAAGCAAATCTTATTTCAAGAAGGCCTGCTTCGGGATCAGATCTTACTGGATCTGTTGACTAAGACCAAAAGCAAAGGCATGGTCTTATGTAAAAATTACGAAAAAATGTTAGTGTCTTCTTCAAAAGTGAATATCTCCAACAAAAATAAAGCTAATGAGATGAACTAAAAATCAAACTATCGATAAAAGATGTATCTAGATGATAAAATAATTTTTAAATTTCTTGCTGTTTTAACATATTCCACAGGGTGTTCCAAACTTTCATCAAAATATCAACGTTTTGTTTTCCCTCGTATAATTAACAAATGGGGAGTTTCATTTTTAATTTAGAAAGAGATATTAAAAATCCCAATAATTTGGCACATACTGATTAAAAAATAATCAAAATCGGCCCACTATAACAAAATATATTAAACTTTAAAATGCATCAAAGTTTTAAAGTGCCCATTTGTCGTGCCGGTGAATGTATTTCAAAAACTATACGTTTTAGTCATATACTTTAATGAAACTCGCCTTTATTTTTTTACTAGAATCCGAAAATCAATTAATATATAGGGTGTTCCATTAGAAAAGAACACAACTTTGATGTGTAACTTTTTTTGGGGACACCCTGTATAATTCTATATATTTGTATAGAATGCTTTCAGTTAACCTACATATGCTGCCAAAATTTCATTTCGATATAAACTACCACTCTCCTTGGAGCTTCCGCGGCGTATGAGAGGCGCCACCTTGTATATCGATATCTATTAGAGTTGATCAAAAACATTGTAAAAAAGTATAAAAAATACTAACTGAATCCGTAAGATGCTCCATAAACTTGTTCAAACAATAAGAACTGCCCTTCCTTCAGCATTGTCGAAAATGTTTTATCGTCGATATAATAATAATGCTCCCCTTCAATCTCGTTCTCGTGTTTCTCTCTAGTGGTGTAAGGAATCCCTATAGCCACTCTGAAATAATCATAATATATAGGTAATAACACAGAGTAGTAGTAAAAATAAGTCACTATACCATACAAAACTAAACAGTACAACCTCTTTAATTCTTAAATTATAAATAAATTACCAGGAAATTTGCCTTCGAAAACATAATTATCTCCCAAGACACATTATACAGAGTGTTTCCTAGGATGGGTATCTCGGAAACTACTGGAGATAGAGAGTCAGTTAAATGGGGAAAGAATTGCAGTTTTGTGGGATCATAAATATGCACCTTTCAGATTTTCAAAAAAGTTCATGGCTTACTAGATATTTCGAAAAAAACAAATTTTGGCTATTTTAAAAATTGTCCCTAATTCCATTATAATCTATTTTAGACAAAAAGTGTTCAGATAAAAGTTGTAGATAATCACATTCCTAATGAGATTGTGTTCTCCGATTTTTTCTAAAGCCTGTCATTTTTGACACATGACACAAACATATGTTTTTTTAAATGGAAACCATAGTTGGCCATGACGTCATAAATAGCGTCATTTTAGCTTTTCAGCGATATAAGCTATAATATGTTTCTTTCACAAAATTACTGAGTTATAGCCAATTCTTATCTTTCTTGACTAATTTCACTTAGTTAGCCACGGAAAGAAGTTCAATCGTCGTTGCTCTCACAAATGTGAAATTGTCACATCCAATCTTTGTAAATTAAAATAAACAAAAATTGTAAATACGAGTTTTTCAAATGAATAAAAGCGTGTAGGATTATTGGTTCAACTTTTCTTGGCCATACAGTTTCGAGGGTACGTTGACCGGTGAACGTTACTTAGTTTTTTAGAGAACGGTTTTCAAGACATGTTAGAAAACTTAAATTTAGATACTCGCGCATTAATAGAGTGGTTCCAACATGACTTTCATTATGACACACCAAACCCCTCTCCCACATTGTAAGAAATGTTAAAAATTATTTCATTATCATAATTATGTAGACTCAGGGATAGAAAGAGGTGGACCAATTGCATGGGTCTCCTCGGCGTCCTCGGTCACCTGACCTATCCATTTTAGATTTTTTTATACGGTATGGTCACAGTATGGTTAACAACAAGGTTTACTAAAGGACTTATGAACTCATGAGAGGCACTCGAAGAGGCGAAACAGGAGATGTTTAATTAAGTCGACCGGTCGTTCTGTGACAATAGCTAGAAATTCAGTTTTAAAAAGATGCATTTATGTACTCAAAACAATTGCGGATTTTTTGAACATTTCCTAAATTAACTTAAAGTGTATGTATTGATAATTTTTTTAACTTTTAGTTTGTGCAATGTAAATTGTAAAGAGCTGTTTAATAAAATATTTTGTCTTTTTATAAGTTATAAGTCATAACAAAATTAGAACACCATTGGAAACCGTTCTCTAAAAAACGTAAGTAACTTTCACTGGTCAACATATCTTGTATGGTCAAGAAAAGTTGAACAAATAATCCTACACGCTTTTCTTCATTTAAAAAAAAATATTTACAATTTTTGTTTATTTTAATTTACAAAGATTGGATATGACAATTTCACGTTTCTGAGAGCAACGACGATTGAACTTGTTTCCATGGCTAACTAAGTGAAATTAGTCAAGAAAGATAAGAATTGGCTATAACTCAGTAATTTTGTAAAAGAAACATATTATAGCTTATATCGCTGAAAAGCTTAAAAAATGACGCTTTTTATGAAGTCATGGCCAACTATGGTTTCCATTTAAAAAACATATGTTTGTGTCATATGTCAAAAATGACAGGCTTTAGAAAAAATCGGAGAACACAATCTCATTAGGAATGTGATTATCTACAACTTTTATCTGAACACTTTTTGTCTAAAATAGATTATAATGGAATTGGGACAATTTTTAAAATAGCCAAAATTTGTTTTTTTCGAAATATCTAGTAAGCCATGAACTTTTTTAAAAATCTGAAAGGCGCATATTTATGACCATACAAAATTGCAATTCTTTCCCCATTTAACCGACTCTCTATCTCCAGCAGTTTCCGAGATGCCCATAGAGAACATCGTAGGAAACTCACCCTGTATAATATATATTAGGTCATAAAATCAAGCTGAGTAAAGAGAACCAAAATACGGAGATCAAACGCAGGATCCATTTGGCATGGGTAGCATTTGGAAATATGAGCGATATTTTCAAGGATAAAAAGGTGCCCATCAACCTAAAGAAAAAAGGCTTACAACAGCTGCATTCTACCTGTGCTTACGTATGGCTTAGAGGCTATGGCAATTACCCGAAAAAATGCAGAACAACTACGAGTTGCACAAAGAGTCATGGAAAGAGTCATGTTAGGAGTCACCATGAAGGAAAAAATACGGAATACTCACATACCACAAAAAATACGGAATACTCACATACCACAAAAAACAAAACTAATAAATGTTGTTAAAAGAGTGGCAAGTCTGAAGTGGCAATGGATCCGACATGTGGAAGACAGGATCCAGATCGATGGCCCCAAAGAGTCATTCTATGGAGACCTAGGGGAGCAACAAGAAGTGTGGGCCGACCAAAAAAGAGATGGGTCGATGACGTCAGAGCAGTGGCGGGAAGACAATAGATAAGATTGGCTAGAGATCGCGAAGCGTGGAAAAACCTAGAAGAGGCCTTTACTGAACACTGGATGGAACCAGACTGAGAAAGAAGAAGAAGATACATTTTTGTGTGAAACTAAAAGTTCCGTAAACAAATATCGGTTGTCTGACAACTTATGAAAAAGTTAAAAACGGATTCGTATAGGATTTTTGGAATTATGGCGTATTTAAAGTTTTTCTTATTTTTATTATTGACATTTTGGGATTGGGTGAAGTTTTTTTTAATTTGAAATCACTTATAAAAAAAACAACAAAACGTCCAGTATATAGAAGCCTCTCCAAACACAAAATCATGAAAATTTCTCTGCGTAAGTGCATCATTCTCTTTTTTCCGACTTTAGAATAACTGAAATCAGTTACATGAAAACGTGTTCCCGCTTTACACTTTTCTTGTGTAGGTATGAACTTAACTTAGTAGATTCTGTAATTTAGACATCAATGTAGTACCGAGAAAAAAACGAAAATAAACAAAAATCAACCAACAAACCAAAACAAACCTAACCAAAGCAATCAAAACACACTGTACACTAAAACGCGTCTGTTTACGAATTCCAATTGCCAAGTACTTTTCAAATCTTGCTCTATTTTTCTATATTTATCAATTAATAAAAATGGCGCACTTCCGCAAGTTTTTAGAATGAAAAACAGAAACGTGTTTTCATGTAACTGGTTTCAGCTATTCAAAAGTTGAAAAACTAAAAATTATGCATCTGCATTTCCGCAAAAAAACTTTCGTGACTTGCTATTTGGAAAGGCCCTTCCTAGTACTAAATGAACAAATATTTCTTACGAGTATAACTAATTTCAGCTAAACCAAAGTTGCCTTGATTTCAGCAATTCTAATGTTGAAAAACTGAAAATTATGCATTTCAACAGAAAAAAATTTGTGACATACTATTCAGAAAGGCTTCCAAATATTAAATAAACAAATATTTCTTACGTAACTGATTTCAAGTAAACGAAAGTAGCCCCAAAGTTGAAAAACTCAAAAAGGATGAATTTCCGCAGAAATTTTTTTATGACATACTATTAGAAAAGGGTTCCAAATAATCTCTCTAATTTTTTGGAAGTCGTCTATCGAAATCTTCCCTGGTTCGTTGGACAGACTATAGCACAATTTCCTTATTCAAAAACTAATATAAATTAAAAATTGGGAATTCTGATACTTGAACTAAACTAAAATTGAGTGAATTCTGATGAACTAAAATTTACGATCTTAAACTATAAAAAATAAAAAAAATAACTAATAAAAATATACTGGGGATATTTTTTCTGGAATTGTCTTGCTAGTGCTGCTCGCTTAGAACCTTCTACGCCAACCAAAACAATAACATCTAATGGACGGCAATCGTATGGTTGCAACCAATCCCAGATTCTAGGTTTATTCATCTAAATACAAAAAGAAATATATTGTTAAAATTAAATTAGTAAGCAGATCTAATTTTTTTTAGATCTGCATACTTATATTACAGTTGAGGGTTGGAAGCTTTATAATAAAACACTAATTCACCATAATACACCAAAACATTTTTACTTTTGCAGTAGTCGCGTGTTTAGCTACCCATGTTAGCATCATCAGCAGATGGTTATATTTTTTTAGTTTAGTTTAAATCATCTGCTGATGATGCTAACGTGATTAGCAAAACGCGAATCCAGTGCAAAAGTAAAAGTGTTTTGGTGTATTGTGGTGAATTAATGTTTTATTATGTAGATCTTATATGAAAACCAAATCTACCTGTTCTAGAATAAGCAGTTTCAGTCTTGTATACGAAGCTTTCTGATAGACATCCGATAATTTATTGCTAAACTTTTCATTCCAAAAGTCGGTGTTAATTTTCTGACCATCTAGATGTGATAACTTTCTTAAATGCGTTAGGCATATTTCTGTGTACCTGTAAATATGTATATACCGGGTGAGTTTCTTACGATGTTCTCTATGGGTATCTCGGAAACTACTGGAGACAGAGAGTCGCTTAAATGGGGAAAGAATTGCAGTTTTGTGGGGTTATAAATCTGCGCCTTTCAGATTTTTGAAAAAGCTCATGGCTTACTAGATATTTAAAAAAAAAAAAAAATTATGGCTATTTTCAAAATTGTCCCTAACTCCATTATAAGCTATTTTAGACAAAAAGTTTTCAGATAAAAGTTGTAGATAATCACATCCTTTATGAGACTGTGCCCTCCGTCTTCTTCTAAAGACTGTCAATTTTGACATATGACACAAACATATGGTTTTTTTTTAAATGGAAACCTATAAAAAAGGCCATGACTTCATAAAAAGCGCCATTATTTAAGCTTTTCAGCGATATAAGCTATAATATGCTTTCTTCGAAAAATTACAGAGTTATAGCCAATTCTTATCATTTTTAAACAATTTCACTTAGTTAGCCATGGAAACAAGTTTAATCGTCTTTGCTCTCAGAGATGTGAAGCTGTCACATCCAAATTTTGTAAATTAAAATAAACAAAAATTGTAAATATGAATTTTTCAAATGAAGAAAAGCGTGTAGATACTCCCGCATCAATAGAGTGCGGTTTGGTTGACCAAGATGACTTTTATTACGATCTCCCCACCTCATAATGAAAGAAATGTTAAAAATTATTTACATCATAATTATGCAAACTCAGGAATAGAAAGAGGTGGACCAATTGCATGGACCTCCTCGATTACCTGACCTATCCATTTTAGATTCTTTTTATGCGGTATGGTTAACAATAAGGTTTACAAAAGAATTTGTGAATTAAGAGAGGCACTCGAAGTGGCGGTACGAGAGAAGTTTAATTAAGTCCACCGGTCCTTCTATGAGAATAGGTAGTAATTCAGTTTTAAAAAGATGCAACTCACAACAATGGCGGATTTTCTAAAATAACTTAAAGTGTATGCAGTGATATTATTTTTTAAGTTTTAGTTTGTGTAGTGTAAATTGTAAAGAACCGTTTAGTAATAATTCTTACAAGTTTTATAAATCATAATAGAATATGAATACCATGCAATCCAATTGAAATTAATCAAGAAAGATCAGAATTGGCTATAACTAAATGTAACTTTTCTAACATGTCTGGAAACCCGTTCTCTAAAAAACGTAACATTCACCGGTTAATGTATCCTCGAAAATATATGGTCAAGAAAAGTTGAACCAATAATCCTACACGCTTTTCTGCATTTTATAAAATTCATTTTTACAAATTTTTGCTTATTTTAATTTACAAAGTTTGGATGTGAAAGCTTCACATTTCACATTTCCGAGAGCAAAGACGATTAAACTTGTTTCCATGGTTAACTAAGTGAAATTGTTTAAAAATTATAAGAACTGGCTATAACTCAGTAATTTTTCGAAGAGAACATATTTTAGCTTATATCGCTGAAAAGCTTAAAAAATGGCGCTTTTTATGAAGTCATGGCCAACTATGGTTTACATTTAAAAAAACATATGTTTGTGTCATATGTCAAAAATGACAGGCTTTAGAAGAAAACGGAGGGCACAGTCTCATTAAGGATATGATTATCTACAACTTTTATCTGAAAGCTTTTTGTCTAAAACAGCTTATAATGGAGTTGGGAACAATTTTTAAAATAGCCGAAATTTGTTTTTTTCGAAATATCTAGTAGGCCATGAACTTTTTCAAAAATCTGAAAGGCGTATATTTATGACCCCACAAAACTGCAATTCTTTCCCCATTTAACCGACTCTCTATCTCCAGTTGTTTCCGAGATACCCATAAAGAACATCGTAAGAAACTCACCCTGTATATAATGCTGATACTCAGCAACGGAAGTGTTCCACACAGAATAGTTAATTTCTTGAACTTGGTTTTTCGCCAATGTGGTAGTCTGAACATCAAGAATGGAACCATAAAATTTGCAAGAAATTATATAATAACCCGTATAGCTGAATGCATAACACAAAATAACATCAGAATGACAGACAAAAACGAAATAATAAGCCTAGTAACAAAATTCTACGTCGACCTATATAAAGCCCCAGAAAACATACATAAAGAAGAATGACTGTCCCTACCAGAACACGACGCCCCAAAAGTTCTCGTGGGAAAAGTAGAAAAGACATGAAAAATGAAAAACCAGCAGGGAACGAAAGAATAAGTACGCCGGTAAGAGAACTTGGAAAATCCTAGAAAATGTATACACCAGCTGTCTTAAGGAGAAAACATATACCCCAAAACTGGAATAGCGTCAACTTAATTCTAATTCATAAGAAAGGCAACAAAGAAGACATCAGAAACGGGGTAGTGGGGGCAATGCACAAAAACAGAATACAAAACACGCTAGACGCTGCAGAACCACGAGAACAAGTAAGCTTTGGAACCGGCTTCAGCACAATTGATAACATACATATACTAAGGGAAACTATCAGCCTAACAAAAGAATACGAACTTAGTTCTGTCATTGGGTATTTTTGCTTGGAAAAAAGTCCGGAAGTTTTGCAACTTTGCAGGTTTATAGGTTTTGGGGTCCCTAACTAAAATCCATAAAATGCACATTTCCAGACTTGCCGCCGGCGCCACCATCTTGCCAAGATGGCGCCCAAAATCGGTATTTTGTAAATATCTCGGAAACTATGCGTTTTTCGCAAAAATTTGAGGAGAGCAAAATTAAAGAGAGTAAAATTTCCTATAAAAAAGATTTTATGAAAATTTTCGCTAAAGTCAACCGTTTAGGCACAAAATCACTGGAAATTTTACACTTTTGTGTAAAATATGATATATTATGTATAGTCGATTTTCCGAAATCAAATGTCGATTAGGTTTCACTAAAGCTAGTTTTAGTTTAGTTTCTTCAATTTTTTCATGTGTCAACAGTGGCGTATCTTTAATTCGCTCATTAAATTATGAATAATAATTTTAATTATTGAAAATGTGTACTTGTTTCCACACCACCCAAGAGCCAAGAGGTCAAGTACATGGCGCGTTTATTTTAACGTGGTCTCCCCGGAGGCCTACTCCACTAGGTAAATTAAAAACTTCAACTTATCTGTGCAAGCCCGACGGATCTGGCTCAATGATGTCAAAGTCGATCGTGTCTGCTGTGCTGGGCTCATCAGGGTGGTCTCTCAATACGTCCAACTCTTCATCTTCAGCCGCAGGATATCTACCAACTCCTCTTCAACGGATTCGTCATTCAGTGACACTTCAGTGACGTTGTCACAGGATTTCCCATTGCAGTATGCACAAATCATTGAAGATTTTAATCCTGCTTTTCTGCATCCTCAGGGTTTACCACAGTTGTTGGTTTTGCATTTACAGGATAAAAACGTCAATAGGGATTTTGGAGCTGGATCTTTCAACGTTGTGACTGGAGTAATGCCTGTTTTTGTTTTCTTCCAACCCCATTCTTCGGCATCTTTGGTACAACCCAGACCAATGCTGAACCTGGTGGTAAATTCGCAATGAATGCTGTCCAGCACGACAATTAAGTATTCATAAATTAATGAGCGAATTAATGATACGCCACTGTTTCATGGCAAAATTGAAGAAACTTAATTTTTAACTAGTTTTAGTGAATACTAATCGACATTTGATTTCGGAAAATCGACTATTATGTATATCATACTTTCTTCCCCTAGGAGATGCAAGACCTTGTCGTTGGTGGGAAAGCTCCTGGTCAGGTGCTGGGGTGAATCCCTCCTAGCACTTGGCTTGGTCTAAGAAGCATCTCACTCATCGTCTTGTCCCTGACTGTAGTGTCGTGGCCAGGGAATTGCACCAAGACATATAACGATACCGGGCGGGGCTACGGACAGCCTCAACCTTGGGGCACCGGGGGGCACCCCATTGTATTTTACCCCTTACTTCTACATGCGGGGCTCTGTAGAAGTGGACCGTCTGTCCCTAGCGACTCATGGGAACACTATGAGATCTGGTAATAATAGTAATAAAAACATCACCGGTGAAGCTGTGGGGAAACCCCCTTGCAACACGGGGAACAATAACAATGAAAGTTCCAAGGGGCCAAACCCAAAGAGAACTACAGGAGAGGTGGCTGACACTTGCGTGAGACCATCCTCCGCAAGTGGCATACAAGTTACCACCTCCTCCAAGGGTCGGGAGCCTACCTCCTACCTCTAAACCCAACAGGCGACACAAGCTACCGTTTCGTTTCGTCTACCCGGCCCTGGGGTGCGACTTTGTTCAAGTTAGCAACCGATCGTTTAGAAGCGATGTCGAAACCAGATCGATACTATGTTCATTGCAAAACTAGTGTCGCTCAAATGCTGCAAAATATGGTATCACTATCACACTCTTGCACACGTGTCTAGACTGTCGCCTCGCCACAAAGCGAGAAATCAGAATATCGCTACAAATCGATGTTGCTACTGAACATAGTGCATCAAGCTACAAATTACTTTGCTATCGTTTTGAAACATGAACAAAGTTGCACCCCTGGGTCGTAGCCAGGGCCGGCGTAAGGCAAATATTGAGACTGGCCGAGTACCCTATCTGGCGCCCCCCCCCCCTAATAGTTATTATAATTCTCTTTTTTTTTCAATACGATCCTTTAACTACAACTAAGCATATTTATGCTACTTTAATAATAAATTTTCACTTAAAGATACTTCAAAATTCTACTCTTCTTTCAATCTTACTCTGCGGTTGTTGTTTTTTGTATACCGGGTGCGTATCGAAATTGTCTCAACCCTATAACTTTTTTATTTTTTTACATAAAAAACTAAATTTGGTATGTTAGTATATGACATAAATTAGGATTGACTATTCAATTGTTTTTGGGGGCCACTTCCTGTTTCATCGGAAATGACTAAAACTTTTGATTTTTAAATGGACACCTCGGTATATTTTTACTTCATTCGATAGAAAATGACACTCTGAGTAGAATGACATATCATATGTCAACTTTTGACATTTTCATTCTAAAAAC